CTTGTGGTTAAAGCGTTCGCTCGTCCCCGCATGCATGGTACAACGTGTAAATCTTATTTCTGGTGTCCCCCACGGTGATATTGCTGGAATATTGCTAAAAGCGGCGTAAAACTAATTTCACTCACTCTAACATTGACCTGAACATTAGTTTATTAGTGGTCGGGCTTGATAAAGGGAAAACTAAATCCCGCGAAACTAAATTATAACACAATAACCGTCTTAAATTTAGTCATAATAATACATTGATGGTAAATCACTTTAAATGTTCGTGGAACCATATAACCGAGAATTAAGTGAACAGAAAAGAATATTTTATAAGCTCTAAGGGACCGTTCATAATTTATGGCTTTTTCCCCTTTTTTGGGAGGGAGAAAAGAAGAAAGAGTAATGGGGAGAATGTGTGATGATTTTAGTGGGGGCACCCTTTTTGTTCTGGGGAGCTAGGCGCGGTCAGCAATTTTGTACTCATGTACTAGGGGGTATCAGCAATTTTGTACATAAAATATGATTAAAATTATGCTTAGAAATTATGGGAAGGGGGGGGGGGGGTGTCATTCATTTTGTACATGACCCGCAGGGGGGGTTCACTTATTTTGTACATGAATTCTAGGGGGGTCGTTCACATTGTACATGCTTCTACATAAACATCATCATCACCCCCACTAGCCATAAATTATGAACGGTCCCTTACATGTTTCCTTCATAACTGAACTCTGGGTTTACGAAAGGATTCTTCACTGGTGGTGCTACGTTCTTGTGTACATAATGTGTCCTGTCATAAGATTTATGATCATCACACCAAAATTTCCGATCTATAGCTTTGTGCCTTGGGCATTACAATGTAACATTAGATGAGTTTCGTTTGAGACTTTGAACAGTTCAACAGTTACACCATGCACGGTGTATTGTGGAGGTAACATCGAACTGATGCAGATCTTTGAAGTTTACAGTCGGACTCTACTACAGTGGCCAAAGTCATGACCGAGAGTGCTGTTTATTTATTTGGACAGAAAGGCAACAATAGGCGTTAAACGGGTGTAACACCAATGGATGCTGTAACAGCCAAGGCACACAACCCCTCAGCCGTGTAGCATACACAATGTAATTCTTGTTTCAGGTGTTGCTGGAATAACCTACCTTCTCTGGAACTCATATGGAGGCTCTTCTGTCACAAGGAAATATTTCCGTTGGAAACCAGAATTCAGGGACACACGCCCTATAAAGGTCCAACATGAAGCTCAGGAACCCAAGCTGAGCACTATCTTCATCCTGACGCCCATGATCTGCACTCCGGCCTTCTGTACTACCCTTAGTGGTGCCTGCCCCTGGGAGCCTGTGGTGTGAGGTGGTTCCTGTGGTTCCATATAACCCACTGTACAGGCTACCCCCTTCGATGGAGGAAGGAGATGAGAATGGGAACGATAGCGTCAGCTGGGAGGAAGCCTTCACTGTTCCAGCAGGTGCCCTGTGGGCCGACATTAGTCCTGTGGGGGACCTGGTACTGGAGGCTCCTTACCAGCTGGAGGAATAGGAATAGTCCGGAGGGAGGTACAGGAGAGGGTGGTCGGTAGAGGGCCAGTTTGAAGCTGAGAAACCCCAAGCTGAGCACCCAGAAGCTAACCCAAGACGTAGGAGGAAGTGTTAGAGGCACAGAAGGGAGGGAGCATAGATAGGTGTGTAGATGTGGTTGAACTAACCCAATGGAAATGGAACATTACCTTGAAGAAAAAACTTCTGGTTGTTGCTAAGTTGCGACCATCTTTATGAACATTTACATGAAACTTATATACAAAAGAATGTTAGCTAGTCTTTGCATATCGTTGGTGCACATCAACAAAGTTTACACAAATTCATGGAAAATATTTATTTTGTGTTGTTGTTCTTTTACTATTTTCATATTGCGTTATAACTGTACACAGAATGCCAAAAACATATGTTGTTACATTAGTATGAGTCAATAAAATATCTTAAATCACATTTCCGGTGTCCTGATTGTTCATATGATATTTCTTATTGATTCACATAATCTTGTAGTTTGTTAGTGGCCATTTCAAAACTGGCGTAGAACTAATCATCATTCAGCCATTGCAACACTTCAGTAAAAAAGAAGATAAAAGAAACACCCGATATATTGATGAATGATTTTATTTCATTTTTCTTCAGAAATATTCAACAAATATCTGTAGGAAAGTCTACAGATGGATTGTAAATACTACAACAAGCACAAATAGGACCTGGGACAGGATGTAGAAACATGCTGAACAATATCCCCCATATCAGTGGCTTGTGATCATAGCTTCAGAGACAGATCATTCATTTTCCTTAAGGCACTAACTTGTCCAGTTCTACTAGGAACAATCTATACAGCTTAAAACTTGTTGCCTAACATGATGAATTCACATATTTGGTAAGGATCAAAAGAAAATTACTGTTGAATGACTTGTTTTACCTATAACAGGGACCTGTATTTTGCCAGCCTTATAAGGGATCCTGTACCAAGTACTACCAGCATTATAAGGGATCCCTGTACCAAGTACAACCAGCCTTATAAGGGATCCCTGTACCAAGTACTACCAGCCTTATAAGGGGTCCTTGTACCAAGTACTACCAGCCTTATAAGGGATCCCTGTACCAAGTACTACCAGCCTTATAAGGGATCCTTGTACCAAGTACTACCAGCCTTATAAGGGAGCCAAGTACTACCAGCCTTATAAGGGATCCTTGTACCAAGTACTACCAGCCTTATAAGGGATCCTTGTACCAAGTACTACCAGCCTTATAAGGGATCCTTGTACCAAGTACTACCAGCCTTATAAGGGATCCTTGTACCAAGTACTACCAGCCTTATAAGGGATCCCTGTACCAAGTACTACACTCTGTTCATAATAAACTTGAACACCCAATGCTGATGAACTGTAGTATCATGCAAGAAAACCGGAAGGTTAGAGCACTAAAAAGCTGACACAGAAGATATATTTGCATGCAACCCCACACCCAATACTACGCCATGATTACAAAACAGAATAGAGCATCCGAAGAGACTCTAGCTCCACAAAGATGTGATAAATCCATCAGATACATTTGTTTTGTTTTACAGAGGAGCTGACTTACTTTAAAGAAAAAAGAAAAAAAAATTGCTGTGTTCCCAAAAACTTGACTCTATTCAAACCCCTTTTTTCAGAAAAACGTACAAGTGCTCTAAGGCCACAATAATATAACTCGAAAAGTTTCATAAAGGGTAAACATTGTTTGGTAAGCATTTGAAATGTTTAGGAAAAGACCATGACGTGAGACAAAGAGTTCAGTAATGAGATGGCGGGGGCAATCTATCATGATCTAATAATATGATGTCACCAGTCCAATATTTGAAGACTTGTCTTCCTTTTTCGGTTTAATTAATGGCCTCAAGTCAATAATGACCTTTTTCGAATTGCATTTTATAACTTTGGGCTAAAAAATCCATAAACATGCTACACTGGCCTGTAAACCCTAAGTATCTTCATTGTGGTGTACAAGCCTATCACACACAGTGTGTACATGTATTATGTACCGGTAGTCAATATGTCGACATGCAAACTTTTATGCACAGCCAAGCATCAATGTGATGTGTTTGGGGAACATGCTCATTAGACCCTCCATGAATATCAATGACATCATAAATGTAAGACAGGTATACTGGCCAGGCAATTGATAATACCAATTTTTTCATTACCTCCAAACTATTAGTAGATATAATTGTAATTTATTATAACCATATTCTAAGTTTGTAAATAAAAAGTATACCTATTTTGTTAATAAAACCCCTTAAATCTGATGATGCATTATAGCAAACCCATATTATTTATGAAACCACATTTGATGATATTTATAACCTTATTTTCTAATATTCTAGGTGATAATGAAGCCTATTATAAAAATTAGGAGAGATTCAAGTTTTTATAATAGTCCTTAGTGGAAAATATTGAGATGCAGAGACATGGGACATAAGTATTAGCCATTTAGCATACACTGGCATTCCAAGTAATATTTCAGTGTAGCAAACAAATAATTCAGAGACATATTACAGACTGAAACACATAACAATTTGTGTATAGGCAGTAAAACTTCCTTTTTAAGAATGCAAGAAGATTTCGTCTTCAGTGTTAAAAACAGATATCAGCACAAGGTGTACCCCTTGGCAAAAAAACTATTGCTGTTTTCTAACTGTTATTCCATAAGTAATCTGAACATTTGAGTTACCCCGATGCAAGATCAGTGATTTTACTCTGTGCTGTTATTGCCCAGCTTTGGTATTTAAATATATCTCTGAAATTATCATTGGTACCCTGAAATGTGATGTACATCACTTGAGTGTATGCTAACTGAAGAAAAGGAAAGTCCCCTGACTAAATCCTGCTTCAAGGTCCATGTATGCAGTTGAAGGTCTTCTGATGATTCACAAAATATGAAAATAGAAATCCAAACTTTACATATTTACAAGTCACAAAGTTATACCACCAGGCACCCAGAAACAGCTACTGCCCTACTGAGGATCACACCGAAGACCCGGGTTTGAATCCCCACATGGGTACAATGTGTGAAGCCCATTTCTGGTGTCCCCCGCTGTGATGTTGCTGGAATATTGCTAAAAGCGGCGTAAAGCCAAACTCAGTCAGTCAGTCAGCCTAATGAGGAGGCTCTTTTGATTTCATTCTTGCATTTACTTACAGTAAAAAGAGAAATAAGAGAGGGTGGAACCTGCTGTGCATGCTTCCAATTGTTCAAACAAATATTGTGAAAAGTAGTCCCTTAGTTGATTGGGTCAAAGTCACTTTAACAGTTTTCAGTTATATAACAGAGTGTCACATTGTAGACATACTCCAGTTTGATTGCTATAGGGCTGAGAAGCTACTGATCATAATCAGTACATCATTTGAACCAACATTCACTGGATGTGGGAACAGCTAAGGGAGGCTACCCTGCACAACAAAGAGCAACAAGAAGTAAATGAAAAACAAAGCAAATATGAAAACATTTTTAAAAGAAGACCAATCCAAAAATTCAACATGCATGGAACCTTAAAATAGTAGATAAACAGGCTTATAGTACACCTAAAGTCTCATTTCTATGCACTAAGAACGCAACTTACAAAGCAAATATCATCCAAACATCTTATCATAATACAAGGTTTGTTAACGAAATTCAAATCGGAAAATACAAATAGGTGCGTAGGATTTAAACAACAAACGTCAATGACCTTTCCACAGTGGGTGCCTGACAAAGAAGTTCTGATGTCACAGAATGTATTCTGATATCGTCACACAAAACCCATACAGTCTGGTGCGGTAAATCTTGGAAAGATAAAATACTCTATAAAAAGTAGAGACGTATTATACAGTGATGACTGAGGAATGATCAAAGTGATGCAGTTAATGTTTTAGACCATGACTTTTGAAACCCATGATCAATATCAGGTTAAGAGGTGGGTTAGGTGTGTGCAAGCTCATCTACTTTCTCAGACAAATCACTTGCCCTCCTGTCATATGTTTTCACTTGGTGATTTACGTCATGCCAAGGCACCCACTGTGTTGTGAAAATATTATCTTATTTATCATCTCTGAACAGACTAGTGTCACTATATATTGCAGTCAGTGATATGGGTGTACCAGTGTCATGAACACAGTACAATAGCTTATAATGAATATGTACACATGCTTCAAATCAAGATTCTCTTGATACAAACATACAGAGTTACTGGGCAACATGATGAAACCAACTTTCTGTATAGAGTGAAACCCTGTGGATCTAGACAGTAACCTTAACAGTGAAATAATCTGGGATAACAATTTACACAAGAAAGAGTCATGTGTACAGAGTTATGTCCCTTTATATTCATAAATCTGATCAGTAATGGATAGGTTTCTGTATCAACAGTGTCCAGTCAAACAAGGTCTCGCTGTACAAGAAACTGGTTTAATCTGCCACCTTAACATGGAGTCAACATACACTTCTAAATAGGTCATAGAAAAATACAACATTTCATGGATTCCCAAAAGGGATCACTTGGCTTTGTAAAGATGTCTTTCTTACAATGTACAAGTGCCTGTAGCGACTCATCTATTCATTGTTTTTAATGATTTTATCCACAGGGTGAAAAACAAAATATTTTTCAGTCTATTTACTAAATATTCTGTACATAAATCCATCAGTGTGAAAAGCCCAATTATTCCAAGAACATAATTAAATGTATTAACATCACAACGATGATAACTAGAAAACACCCAGAGAAATAGTACTACACAGGAAGTTAAATATTAACAATATCTGAAAAATATCTGAAAATGTTCAAAAGCATCTTCCTAATTAAATACGATTCACATATGTATGTGGAATGAGCAGAATAAAACTACGTTTTTGAGAAGGGTGAATGAGTTTTGGGGGGGTTTTAATTCACTAGACAAACAGTATTAACATATTATTGTTTTGAGAAATATTTTATATACTAGTAAACACTGATATTTCATTTCAAATTTCATTTTGACTCTGACTGTACAGTTTTTCAGTAAATATGTAACTCTTGTAAAAGAAGGTCAGGCCACACACGCTAAGGCTTTCAGGAATATTTGACTTTTCAGCAAATCTAACGCTGGCACTATCTGATGTAAAACTGACTTTTAAATAGGGAAAATTCCCAGCTTGCACAATTTCGGTTGAGCAGCTAATATCTGTTTTCATTTTCCATGGAGACTTCTTACATAACTGTTTGTTCAGTGGACCACCTTCAGAGACACAAGGGACAAGTCACACCCATGAGCAAAGTATAAATCTACAAATTCTCTCACAACAATCAACTACAGGTACACTGCTTACATTTACAGAAAACACAAGTTCCGAACACATTAAATTGTCAATGTCAGCACATACCAAGATAAAATTATGATAGTGTATACTTATATTCTAATTTGTTTTTCAAAAATTCATTCCAAGCATAAAGGTCAATGCTGTTGTACATGAAATTTACCAATCAGACACGCGCATGAGCACGCACACATAGCTTTTACACACTTATTGCAAGCAAATTGTTACTCAATATGGTTCTATGTCCAACTACCCATAAAAATTCAAACAATACCATTCAAATTTTGATAGGGATATTAGGATGTCAGGTCTCAATGTGACTGACTGCTGGAATGGAAACGACACAATAAGAGTTGTTTCCAATGAGTCACTGGGATAATAATTCAGTTATATTAGCATGTTAGCTGGATCTGGAAGGAAAAAATGTGATAACGGTCATATATGTTTACCACTTAGGTGAAACCAACACAGGTACTGAGCTGACTTACTAACAATGAACAGTTTCAAACCCAAAATACTTTACTCCAGAAAATTCATAGAGGATTTTAACTCTCAACAAGCTACAAGACCTCTAAGTTGATGTCCACGTTAGACAACATGAATGAGAATCCAGATTCAGGTATTACTGCCATGTTGCAACCCTTCAGGCCTCACTTCAACATGCTGAATTCTTTGTTTGAAGTTTCTTTCTTCACATGCATTTTAACAGTGCATCAGTAAAGAACTCTTGGAAGACAAAAGGACATGAATTCCTGAAAAGTCATGACCATTCCTGCCTTTAACACTTCATATGAAAATAAACACATAGACATTTTCTATCATCTATGAAACTGTATAATCTGTGTCCTTACCAAAATTTGAACAGTATACAAAAGCCAGCATGCCCCCCAACAAGCTGGCATGTTAACACTCAGGATTCTACCACATACATGAGATATACAGAACTATATACATCAAGGTGCTGTACAAAACAGATACTCCATCAACCTACACAACATCAAACAGTGAATATCACAGTCTTATCATCAATAGATAATTAAGGATTATATACATCAACATTATCATACAACAAACAATGAATTGAAAAAGAGAGACAATACCTAATCGATTTATCCTCTTTGGTACACAGAATTCAAAAACAATGATCTGGGATTTGCTTTTCCATACAAGGAGCGTACAGCATAATAAAGGGGCTTTCAAAAACCCAGCCTGCAGTAGTGGACAATACTGTGTGTCATGTACGGATTTCACTTTGTTTTCTGTTATTTAGGTAAGTACAAACATTATGTTAAACAGTTGGTATTTATCTGCAGGGACTGTACAACAGTCATTAACTAACTGAAAATAACAAAATACCATTGATTTAAGTATGTAGGCACTGATTTGTACTGTATCACAAATCTTTTATCTATGTTTTTAAAATAGAAGTGAAAATTTGATTTAACAAATCAATACAAGTAAAATATATTTTGCAACCCTAACAACCCTGAAAGTAATGACCTTGAAGATCCTTTCAGTCCTGTCACTGCACAGGATAGTCCAAATAGATCGTTTAGCGATCCAGGAATGTTGGATATCTTCTCTGCAACATAACCCTAGTGATCGACACTTTATATTTCACATATTATTTTTGTGACAACAATCCCCCTTAAAAAAAGTCAAATGAGAGGGTATCCCTGATTACTATTATCTTATCAAGTTCTATCCTTGCTTAAATCTCCATTCATAATGAAAAAATTATGTTTCACTTGCTAACTGATACATAAAATCAAACAGCATGCATTGTTGGTATCGAGCACCAGGGTTATCTGAATCTATTTGGTTGTGGCAAGTACAAACTCTTATAAAAAAACAAACACAAATAAAGAAGCAACTAAATGCTATCATAGGTGATTTGTTTAAGTAGGCAATTATCATGAACAACATCGTATTGTTCAAATGAGGTCAACATGTCATAATCTTCACTTGGTCATCTGAATATAACAACAAATGTTTCACAGATATATATAAGCAATGCAAAATTTGTCACCTGATACCATGATGTTATACTTCCCCACAACAGATTCACATAAATGTACTAATGTAGCAAAACATCTTTTACAAAAATGGAGGATTTAAATCAATTTGTAACAAACTAAATAAATAAAATACGTAAATGTAATTCTTAATAAGCAGTTTTCGGAACCAAAAGCAATTTCTATAGAAAATGTGCTATGTTAAATGTTGATGTCACAGTATCTATAGTATAGTTTTTTTGAGGAGCTGATCAACTAGCTCTTGGACGCATGCATTCTTGATGCATTTGATCAAACATTTTATATGTTATATTATCATCAAACTGACAATGAGGCTTAGTATCAGGATAAGAAATGAAGCATGTTTAACTTCAGAGAGAATTTCTCAAATGGTAATTTGCAATCACATATGTTCTGATCAAAACCCAAGAGTATATTGACTCGTACCATCATTACCATGGTAACACTGACGCAGAAGAAGAGCTTTCCATGTGTCAGTCAGGACCAACTGCCACTGGTCATGGATGGATTCAGTGACCTGTGCATTTAATCTAAGGGTATGTCCTTCTTCAACAAAGCATTCAGCTGATGGTGTAAGGGTACTTCTGTGCATCATCATGAAGAAATTATATAAAGTACTTCAAGGAGCTGCCGTATCTCGGTCCAGCGACAAAACAATAACAACCAACATAAAAAGCAAAACATAAACGAAGACTTTCTTTGTGGAATGTTTTGCATTTGTGTGAGGGATATTTTGAGGAGTCTAGGGTTAACATAACAAAAACATTCAATACAACATCAGAAAAACACAAATTAAACATTGAAAACAGCCAAATTTAAAAGTGGTAGAAGTAAAAGATTGTCAGCTGAAATTGTTTGTGGTCATCTTGCACATTAGAATCTGACCAAATAGCATGAAAACAATGTTGGCAGAAATTATAAAATGTCAAACATTGTACAGGCACTGCACCCAAAAATGTTTGTTCTCAAAATATTCTCTTCGTGTTTTCTTTGTTTGTACGTTTCCGAATGTGTGACTTTTGACAAATTGTCCAACAGAAGAGTTGAGCGTGAATCAATTGGTCCAGTTGATCGGTTGGAGTATATGATGCCTAGTTTCACCAACATCATTTCAGCTTCTTACGAAACACCTCCAGTGTGTGAATACTCGTGGACAACCTGGAAGACACATTTTGAGAATTGTAATAACTAAACATAACTGCTATAAATCACACTGCCTATGACAGTTTTCTCAGAATCATCATGCATCATTGCAGTTAGAAAACAATTAATCTGTATTCTATCACTGCCCTGATATGAACTCTAAACACTGCCAATACTTCCCAGCACTGCCCTGATATGAACTCCAAACACTGCCAATACTTCCCAGCACTGCCCTGATATGAACTCCAAACACTGCCAATACTTCCTAGCACTGCACTGACACAAATATATTGCCCATTAAAGCAAAGACTTACCTTCCAAAAGCATTGAAGAGTGACACTATCTCAGATCTGGTGAGTTGAAAGTTGCGCTTGCTGCTGGCATTGACTGTGGACTGTGGACCAATGGTGTCCCCAGAGAAGAGGATCTTGAGGGCTGTTCCCATCCCCTGGATCTGCAGCTTGCCCCACAGCCTGCACTTGTCACACCCCACACAGTCCATGATGCGGGAGATGTTCCTGAAGTGCATCCGGAACTCCTCCTACAAAGCACAGAATGACAGTCACAAGGGTCTGCAGCTCACCTTACTTGTTTCTGGGAAAATTGGCAACATTACATCATACTTTTCAATGTAAAGGTGAACATTTTTTAGAGCATTTGTGGTAGAGCATATTCCTGCTGCCAGGTTATTGTGTCTGGTCCAGACAATCCAGTGATATCATGATCAGCAAACCACACCACTCAAGTATGATGACATGCAAGTCACCTCCATGGTGTAGTGGTTAGAGCGTCCACCCCGGAGAGCAGAAAGTCGCAGGTTCGATCCCTAATCGCGTCATACCAAAAGACGTTAAAATATGGTACTTGTTGGTCCCTGCCTGGCGCTCGGCATTAATGGGTACTTCAAGGACTGGTCAGCTCGGAGTCAGTATAATGTGTCTGAGTGGGGTATTCATGCTTCACTGCGGCATGGTATCTCAGTGGGCAAGCACTATAAAACCAGCTTCAGTCTGGGCTAGTACAAGCAGCCGCATATACACACACATGCACGTCATCATATGAGCGAAATATTCTCAAGCACGACGTTAAACCCAATTTCACCTCACCTGCAAGTCACTGAGCCACACCACTAAACTATGATGACATGCATGATGACATTACTCTTGTAAGAATGCTACAGTCGTCTGATGTCTTACTGTTAAACAACCTGGCAAATTTTGTGAAAGACGCTGTCAGTCTACGATCGTCATATCTTAAAATTGAGGAAATACAGCACCAATTGTAAATATTTGCATGTAATATGTACGTGGGCCTGAGGCCTTATTACTGAAATAAACAAATGAAATGAACATGCATGTCACTGAGCCAGGTCACTCGATCCACCTTTCATAACAATCATAGTTTGCTGGGGACCAACATCATGCAGGATACTTCACTTGGGCTCTCTTGAAGGAACATAGTCTCATATTTGCAAATATAACAATATTCTTTTACAGAGAGATCGTCCTTGGGGTACATATTATGCATTTTCCGGCTGAAAAATGTCCTGTGACAGTTGTATCAATGTTTTTTGAATAAAAAGATTGAACAATAAATAAACTCTTTTATTTATTATACGGTCCCTGCCTCACGGAGTTACCTTCCTTAGCGCATGCGCACCAACTGGGTAGGCTCCTAGACCCGTATCATCATTCCTTCTGCTGTCACTGCCATGAACAGACGTATGTAATACTTCATGAGCCGGACGCAGCTGAACTTTCTGACGAACCAGAAATTGAATATGTCTCAAACACCACCTGTATGTATGGCCTTTATTTGCTTATGAAAGGAACAGTAAAGCTTTACAGTTGGTTGTTTCATAATTGTGACTTTGTATTAATTCTAATACTGCGAACTTTCCGTGGTTTACGCCGCGTGTTGCTCTGCCATGGCGGGAAGTTTAGCGTGCCATGTGGTCGTAATATTGAGTATTAAAACCAACTATTACTTTCCGTGGTAACCTTCACGTATTTTTCAATGTTTTCTCGTGTTTATATGCTGCTGGCGCTGTTAGCTACATGCTTGCGTGTTTGCTTTCAGGCCTTTTCATCCTGTTCGGTCTGTGGACAAAAGTATTCCACGGGCGACAGGCATGAAACAATCGTTGCCTGTCTCGAGAAGGCGGGACACGATCGCGGAATCTTGTCCAATATGTCTTGGGTTTTCCCCGGGCCCAAAGAGGAGGCGGCAGATCGCTCTTCTACCGGGGAGATGCGTGGCGGGTGGGGAACTGGCGAGGTCCCCGTCTAAGGCTAAAAAGCCGTCAAAAAAGGGAAAAATTCCGTGGCCAAACCCCCTCTCCCGCCAGTACTGGTGGCTTTGACATGTCGATAATGGAAAACTTGTTTCAGCAGCATATGGACTCTGTGAAGTCCCTCGTTCATGAGTCAGTTGGAGGTCTCCGCCAGGAGTTCTCGCTCACTCGGACGGGGCGGAGAGTCAGGGGTGGATCGCGGGCTCGGCTCGATCCCTCAGCCTTGAGGCGTCTGTTGACCCGTTGCCTCTGGCCGGGTCCGGACGCTTCGGCTGCCGAGGAGGGGAGGTGCTCCCAGTCCCCCTCGGAGTTGGCGCAGGGACCGTTGAGTATTCCTGGTGTTCCGGTCCCTGCGCACTCCCGCCCCATGAGAGCGGAGGCACAAGTTCTGCCTGCCTCCAGCGTCTCGGGACCGGGGTCCATGCACGCCTGCTGGCGCCGACGGGGAGCAGTCTGTCTGCTCTTCCCTTTCTGTGCTTCCTAGCGTTAGGCAGCCCACCGGGTGGGTTAGGGTCCTCTTCGGGAGGAGACCCAGCCTCTAACTTTCGGGCTCGGCGCCGAGGCAATGGAGCTTGGGGAGGTTGAGGAGCATGACGGAGGCTTCCATTTTGCTCCGGCTCTGCGGGAGGTCCGGCAAAGAATTGCCGAGGGCCTACCCCAAGCCGCGGTGCCTGTGGGTTGCACGGACTCGGCTGAGTTCCGCTTGCCTGGCGAGGCGTTTGCCCCTCGGCAACCCTCGCAGACGCAGCTCCGCATTTTGCCTTCGTTGGTCTCAGACGTGGTTGATCCCCTCTTGTCTGGTGCCCGAGTCCGGTTCGACTTGCCGGATCTCGTGCGGCGCTACCAGCTTGGGGAGGACTCCCTGTTTGTAGTTCCCATCGTTGACGAGTGCGTGTTCACTTCCGTCGCCCTGGGGGGAGGCTCGGCTTCCTCCAGAGCAGCTCCGGCTGCTCGGCAAGGGCGCCTCACTCCACCTTTGCCCTCGCGAGCATCCCCTGCAGCACGCGTGCGGACTACGAGGAGGTCTACTGGAACGCGATGCAGCAGGTCAGGGTGGTGGTCCACGAGGCCTACCTCTCCTCTATTCAGAGGTCGGCCCTGGAGGCGGAGGGGCATGCTGGCGACGTTTCGCCGCATGTCGTGCTGCTCCGTCAGCTCTCGGAAGTGCAGGCCCACCTCGCGAGCGACTCTTTGCGGTCTGCAGCGTCGACGGTGATGTGCGCAGTCATGGGGATGCGCAAGCTGTGGCTGTCGACGTCTAGGTACTCGGCAGCGACGCAGCAGACCTTGCTGGCCCTCCCTTTCCGTCTGGGAGCGACCCTCTTTCCAGGGGCCCAGCAGGTCATACGGGAGGCTGCTGCTGCAGCTACCTCCTTCAAGGATTCTAAGGCCTTGTTGGAGCACCCGCGGGTGTCTCGCTCGCGCTCCGTTCCACCTTCCTCCGCCCGGTAGCAGCCTACGCCGAAGTCTGCCGGCTGGCCGGCCGCTTGGTAGGGGTAGGCGGAGGAACAGGTCCGCCAAGGGTAGGGGCAAGGAGCAGTCCTCGACTAGCTCCCAGCCTTTTTTGGTAGCGGGAGGTCTGCCCGACCTCCCGTTAACCCATCAGGCTGCCGCTCAAGCCGTGTGTCACACCCAGTCAGCTCCGCTACTAGGGTCCACGCGACGCTCCTACCCCATATCCCAGTGGGAGGCCGCCTCTCTCTATTCCTGCCGGAATGGGAGAAGGCTACCAACAACGGCAGGTGCTGGCCACGGTCAGCATAGGCCATTTACCACTGTGGAAGCGAGGGTCCGCCCGACTTCACCGGCATACGCCGCACTCCGGTGCCGTCATGTCAAGCCAGAGGCGGACATATTGCGAGCGAAGTTCAGGCTCTGCTGGACAAGTCCGCTTAATCGGCGCATTCCACGGGAGAGGAACAGGCGGATTTTACTCCACGTACTTCCTCGTCCCGAAGAAAGACGGCGGGTTCCGTCCGATTCTCAACCTCAAGGGGTTGAATCGCATGCTAGAAGTACCATCCTTCAAGATGGAGACACTGCGCTCGGTGATCTCCTCTGTTCAGCCCGGCGATTGGCTCACGTCAATCGACCTAAAGGATGCGTATCTGCATGTACCGATACATCCATCGTTCAAGCAGTACCTTCGGTTCTCTTACGACGGGATGTGTTACCAATTCAGGGTGCTCCCCTTCGGCATATCGACTGCCCCAAGGGTGTTCACCAAGCTCATGTTAGTCCCAGCTACCCTAGCTCGTTCGCAAGGAAGGCGTTGTTACCCTTACCTAGACGACTGGTTGCTCGGAGAACTAACTCAGCCAGCGAGTCAAGATGCTACTCACACAGTGATAGACATTCTAACTCGACTCTGGTCCGAAGCCGAAGCCCACCTTCACATCAACGTGTTGGAACTGAGAGCTGTGCGGTTGGTATTCGAGCGCTTCAGAGAGCATGTCCGTGGCCAGGTAGTCCGTCTTCAGTTGGACAACCAGACGGCCATGTCGTACATCCTGAAGCAAAGAGGCACGGTGTCCCCAGCGCTCCTCCGGGAGGCGTGGGACTTTCTCCTCTGGTGCGATCAGTGCGACTGTCAGGTACTCCCTGTTTATCTCCCGGGGCTGGAGAACGTGCGAGCAGATGCGCTCTCTCGCCGGATCCTGGCCCGCGACTGCAGTGGATGCTTTCGACAGGCAGATTTTCAGAGTAATCTCCCAGTTGTGCGGGTCGTTCCAGGTGGATCTGTTTGCACCCGGCGGACGCATCAGACACCCGTGTTCTGCTCTCGGATACCGGACCCAGGGCGTTGGCTGCCGGCGCCTTCCTGCTGGATTGGGACGGGCAAAGTGCTCTGGGCGTTCCCGCCGTTACCACTCATTCCCGTGTCCTTTCACAGCTGTCCACCCAGCCAGCTTCGGCTACTTGTGCTACTGGCACCGCTTTGGCCGTCACAGAGCTGGTTTCCGGTAATTCTCAGGTTTCTGGCTCAGCCTCCTGTTCTATTACCTTACGACCGGACATTTTCACTCAGAACGGGCCCACCCAAATCCGGATTCAGTTGGTGGCTTGGCCTCTGTCAGGTCTAACCTCGAGGCACGCGGAATTCCTGCAGCAGTTGCAGACACAATTCTGGCCGGCGGGATTCGACAAAGCGTTCGATGCGAGGATAGGTGGTCCTGCTATCGCTGGCTGGTGTTCAGATAGGGGCATTGCAGATCCCTTTCTCTTGATTTAGTCCGAGTTTTGGAGTTTTGCAAGCTTCGTTTGGAAGAAGGCCTGGCGGCTTCGACCATTGCGTGGCTACTCCACCGCTATTTCCACTTTTCACACCCTGTCGATGGTGCTCTTCTGGGGCAGCACCCTCTCGTGACAGCGCTTTCTTGCTGGCTGAACGGATTCGACCTGCGCTCAGGCAAACCAGTCCACCTTGGGATTTGTCAATTGTGCTCGATTGGCTGTCCAGTCAACTTTCTCACACCTATCGGCTATTTCCATTCAGTTGTTAACTTGGAAAGCTGTGTTTTGGTGGCGGTAACATCTGGACGTAGGGTCGGCGATTTACATGCTATGTCGTCCGACCGGGCGCTGACTGTGTTTCACACGGATCGTGTCAGTATTCGCCTCCCAGATACTTACCGACCGAAGGTCGATCGCTTTCCATGTGACAGCTCCTATCGAACTTCCTACTCTTACCCAGCCTTCCACATCGGGGACCACTCCCACGAGCACTCACCGTTGGATGTCCGTGAAGACGCTCAAAGTCTATATCAAGCGAGCGCAGGGAATCCGTGCGGGTACCCAGCTGTTCTGTTGTTCTGCGGTGGCGGGAAGGCTGGTCTGCCAGCGAGCAAGCAGACTTTGTCTTGCTGGCTAGTTTCGTGTATTTGTGCTGCTTATCAGGCTAAGGGCAAGCCTCCCCCTGAGGGGTTGAAGGCTCACTCGGTCAGGGCAGTAGCCGCATCAAAAGCTTTTGCATCAGCACTCCCCATTGAAGAGATCTGCTCTGCCGCTATTTGGAGCCGGCCAAGCACGTTTATACGGCATTATCAGCTCGATACGCATTCCCGTAATCGTGCAAGCTTTGGCCATACGGTTCTCTCCAGTGGACAGTGTCCTGCCACCCTGATCGAGTGAGTCTTGGTTTATTGGTCTGTTTTGACGCTACTGTACAATATTTGTATTATTGACATGTCTGCTACTGTGAGCTCACTCAGAGAACATGTACCCCCTTTCGATTCTCTTAGGAGTTATTTGTCGATTGTGAGCGGTATTGCATTCCCCCCTACGGTGCTCACTAATAGACACTTCGTGGGTGGGGCTTTATTGACATTCACACTATGTGCGTTGTCTCACTATGCTAAATGGAGGTCGTCTTTGAGTGCACTTCCTCCCTGTCAGTTCCCCTCCCAGCATGCCTCTCGCGGAAGCGAAACTGGGTCAAGTGACAGGTGAGTGTTATGGCGTCTGTTCAATTTTTTTCCATGTACCGATTGCTATATTTGTGTGTGCTTGGACAGAATTCCCTCCTCCCTGGCCTCCGGTCTTTGGGAGTCTGTGTTTATGTATAATATGTACCCCAAGGACGATCTCTCTGAAAAAGAATTAACCAAACCTGAAGAGGTTTTCAATTCTTTGAAGAGAGTCGATCCTGAGGTAGGGCCTCCCGCCTCCCCGCAATTCTGTTCACTGATATATTCAGCAGAAGGAATGATGATACGGGTCTAGGAGCCTACCCAGTTGGTGCGCATGCGCTAAGGGAGGTAACTCCGTGAGGCAGGGACCGTATAATAAATAAAAGAGTTTATTAATTGTTCAATCTTTTTATTCAAAAAACATTGATACCACTGTCACAGGACATTTTTCAGCCGGAAAATGCATAATATGTACCCCAAGGACGACTCTCTTCAAAGAATTGAAAACCTCTTCAGGTTTGGTTAAATTTCCAGCACAGCCATGTTGTTAGAGATGGAGACTGCTTCCTGTAGTCCGGATCTTTTGCAGCTTCTGAATTTGTCTATTGCACATACTGAAGAGCAAACTAGTACAGAGCCTATTCTTGTTATGACCAGATTTTGCACAAAAAAAAGTGGCCCGCATCAAATGTTCTTTGATACTGATTGTATCACGTATAGATCCATATTCAATATTCTAGACTACGCTATGCTCCTACCTTCAGTTTCCTTGCTTCAGTGGGCTCTCCAGCAAACAGTTTACTCTCATCGAAGTGGTCATTGAAGGACCTGTTGGTAATATCACAAAACATCAAGATCAATTAATGTGATCATTCGGTGATAATTTACTCATCATACATGTTTGCTGTGAGTGACATGGGCTAAACGCTTCTTTGGACAGTAATTCAGTCATGACATGGACTGTTAGCTTAAAGTGGGAGAAGAGTCCAACATGTAGCAGGTCTAAGACAGCATTTCAGCCAAACCCACAAACCAGGTTATGGAGTTGCCAAACCATGAAACTTAACAAGTCATCAATATCCCCCTGCAATGGTAAAATTGCTCTTCATGAATATGGCAACTAGTTATGGCTATGTCAAATGTTACATTGTTTCCTCACATTGATTTAACGAAAACATACATATGTAACTATTCATATCCTAGCATGCTTGTATCAACAACAGACTGCCTGAGTACTTCCACGCTTTGATGTTCCTCAGTAATGTTGATACTGGAAACAGAGTGGTACTGTTGATTTATGTCATTAGGTTCTTGAAAACCCACAAAGTGGAAGGAGAGTATTGAAAGGTTTTTAAGTTCTGCTCCATAAAGGAGCACTACCACCAATTTCAAGCAAAGTAAAACTGGACCTATCTATGTGCAAAGTTTGGTGAAGAAATGATAAACAGTTTAATCTCCTGCTCTGGAAAAGAGTATCAACATCAAATTCAGTTGAAAAGAGCACCAATACCAATTTTAGTCAAAGTCACACTTGTTGCCATGAAAAAACATATTGCATTCACAATCCAGAACTACCTAAAGGCACCAGACCTATCTATGTGCAAAGTTTGGTGAAGAAATATAGAATGGCTTCAATGTTCTGCTCCGAAAAAGACGAATTTGCACGGACGGATGGACAAAGGCCAAAGTAATATCCCCTACAAAACATGTTGAGGGGGATAATAAAGGCAAATCTGGATTCTAACTTGCAAAGTTTCCTCATGCACCTAAGGGAAAAAACTCTTCACACAGACAACTGGGACATATATTCCCCTACATTTTCACAGACTAGTACAAATACTTCATGTGTGAAGATTGTTTTATTAAAATACAAACAAATACTGATAGATAAATAACTGAGGAATGTCTTACTTGATGACAGTGAGCAGATCTTCCACCCCTTGTTTGGTTTCTCCATCTTCTTCATCATTTCCAGTGAAGAATTCTTCCTGTAAATCAACAGATCCAACTGAGAGGGAAGCAACATTCTATGTCCAACCGTTCATTGTTTTCAGTCCATTAGTGCATACAAAAATCTGAGTCATGTGAAAAAATGTTCTTTAAAACATATCAGCAGAGATGTTAATGAATCTATAATCCAAGAACACTGGATGAGGTCATGTAGAGGGTCCCCAATCAGAACAAGTACGTACAAACTCACAAATACCGGTGATTGGCAATTCCTGTCCAGTAATTGTATGTTATCCTGTGACTTGCTGAACACAGATATCAACATGTACTGCAGGAACTCAGAACTTGTGTAGTGAGGTGAAAATGAGGTAGATATGGTTTTGACAGAGAAAGTAAATTATGGAAACAAAATTTTTGAATATCACAGTAAATCGTATTGGAATGAAAACGAGTCATCTACTTCATCTTACCTCCAACAGGTAGGGAGCACCTTTGGCCAGTGCATGCAGCTCCACCAGGTATGTGTATGTAAACGTGTCAGCCACTACTTCATCTTACCTCCAACAGGTAGGGAGCACCTTTGGCCAGTGCACACAGCTCCACCAGGTATGGGAATGAAAACGAGTCAGTCACTACTTCATCTTACCTTCAACAGGTAGATAGCAGCTTTGGCCAGTGCACGCAGCTCCACCAGGTATGTGTATGTAAACGAGTCAGCCACTCCTTCATCTTACCTCCAACAGGTAGGGAGCACCTTTGGCCAGTGCACGCAGCTCCACCAGGTATGTGTATGTAAACGAGTCAGCCACTACTTCATCTTACCTCCAACAGGTAGGGAGCAGCTTTGGCCAGTGCATGCAGCTCCACCAGGTATGTGTATGTAAACGAGTCAGCCACTACTTCATCTTACCTTCAACAGGTAGATAGCAGCTTTGGCCAGTGCACGCAGCTCCACCAGGTATGTGTATGTAAACGAGTCAGCCACTACTTCATCTTACCTCCAACAGGTAGGGAGCAGCTTTGGCCAGTGCACGCAGCTCCACCAGGTATGTGTATGTAAACGAGTCAGCCACTACTTCATCTTACCTCCAACAGGTAGGGAGCAGCTTTGGCCAGTGCATGCAGCTCCACCAGGTATGGGTATGTAAACGAGTCAGCCACTACTTCATCTTACCTCCAACAGGTAGGGAGCAGCTTTGGCCAGTGCACACAGCTCCACCAGGTATGTGTATGTAAACGAGTCAGCCACTACTTCATCTTACCTCCAACAGGTAGGGAGCAGCTTTGGCCAGTGCACGCAGCTCTACCAGGTATGGGTATGTAAACGAGTCAGCCACTACTTCATCTTACCTCCAACAGGTAGGGAGCAGCTTTGGCCAGTGCACGCAGCTCCACCAGGTATGCAAAGTACAGGTTCTTCAGCCTCTGTGGTCCCTCGCCATCAGATGTTTCGGGGTCAAACCTCAGCTTGAACTCCCCCAAGTTGGGACCCCATTGAGCATCTCCATAACCAATGACTATAGGGACAAAACATCTCATGTCAACACAGCGTTCCTTCATTAGTAACCAACCACTTCTGGTTTTGTTTGTTGTTTAACGCCGCCCTCAGCAATATTCCAGCAATATGGCGGCGATCTGTAAATAACTGAGTCTGGACCAGACAATCCAGTGATCAACATCATGAGCATTGATCTACGCAATTGGGATACGATGACATGTGTCAACCAAGTCAACGAGCCAGACTACCCAATCCCATTGGTCACCTCTTACGACATGCATGGGCTGCTGAAGACCAGTTATAACCCGGATCTTCACGGGTATCTACAACAGGGACACCATGTCACTGTTCAGTAAATTTGTCTTAATTGTTCATGTGGTAGCTAGTTATTTTGAAGATAATGTCAACTATAAAACAAGTATCTCTTATAAACATGCAACTTTCATGTATTTGGCAAAGGAAACATGTCTGCATTGAAGACAGAATAAGCAAAATCAATTTACATGTACCAAGAGACATTACTCCGGATTACCGACATGGATTTGTATACACGGTCTTGATATGTATCTACCTGGTAAGCTTCCAAAGTTACATTCTCTCCACTTCTAAGAAACCTTGTCCCCATTGTAGACACTATGCATCATTGCATACAGAACAATGTTTGATCACATACAGGATAATGCATTACTCACATACAGGATAATGCATCACTCACATACAGAATGCATCACTCACATACAGGATAATGCATAACTTGATTCACATACAGAATAATGCACCATTCACATACATGACACAAACACATATACTCACTTGGGAAGAGGAACTCTGCACACAGGTGCACATTGATGCTTGTGTGAAGGCCCGACACCATACGATAGAAGGCTCGCTTCTCCAGGCACATGTCTGCAAGTACACAAAGTTCAATTCACGTCTCCGTACTCTGCCATGACCACTGCTTGGCTGTACTATCACATAGGAGAAGGTTTAATATGCAGGCTCACAGGTCATGTTCCTACCAAGACTCACCATGTATGGTAATATCCACCAATCAAAACATTACACATCAGCATGATGAACATCTTCAATATGAAGGGGGCGGTGGGGTAGCCTAGTGGTTAAAGTGTTCGCTTGTCACACCGAAGACCCGGGTTCGATTCCCCACATGGGTACAATATGTGAAGCCCATTTCCGGTGTCCCTCACCGTGATATTGCTGGAATATTGCTAAAAGCGGCGTAAAACCATACTCATTCACTCTACAATATGAATGCTGATGGGTGGGCTTGTTCTAAATAAAGAACCTTGTGTTGCAAAGAAGTGGCATATTGCCTGATTAAAAGGATCTGTAGTTCACCTGACTCAAATACATTCTGTGGCAAAACTAATTTATATTAATATTTGAAGATATCAAATTGTTCTAAATTTTTCTAAACATGCGAACTGGTAATAGAATGGAGACTCATAAATCTTTTTGTAGCTAGAAAACAAAGAAAATATCCTCAATGTTTTTCTTTTGTGCTGGTACAGTTTGATAAGAGGTACTCAAGAAATAATTAATAATTGCCAAATCAGTTGTCAACTAGGCCTCCATATGTTACCAATTTTCCCACATTTAAGACTATCCAGTTCCATCTACAATAACAAATTGTTTCAAATATATCAGTTGATAACCTGAACCAGAATCTGATCATTTATTAATTTTGTCTTGTACCATCAGTACAGCAGATGTTACCAGTCTCCATGAAGCCATTCAATGATGTGGATTAGTTGTGAGTAAATTATAGACAATTCAATGTGCCAATGTGAAACATGTTCAATCTGAAAATGCAAGGCTGCTTTCAACAGTGATTTTTGTCAAAACCAGATCAAATTTATGGCTGCAGTTTTTTTCATTGAATCAGTGAATTTAACAATAAAACTGTGGCAACACTGACACCTCATATGATTCAAAAACATGTTTTGAAGAGCTTGAACACTGAAACATATCATCTTGTTAGCTTGTTTGTTGTTTAACACCGCACTCATTAATATTCTAGCTATATGGTGGCAGTCGGTAAATAATCGAGTCTGGACCAGACAATCCAGTGATCAACAGCATGAGCATCGATCTACGCAGTTGGGATACGTTGACATGTGTGAAACATATCATTGACTCTAACTCAAACGGAATGACCAAAATATATTTTGGCAGTACATCTGGAAACACATCAAATGGGATTCAATACCATCCAACAACATTGTTGTGTTTCATTATGAGATGCCAAAAATAACCAGTAGAACTTTACTTCATTTTTGTGGCTATTCAAATATGTGTTCTTAAGTGTGTCAGTAGTTAATATGTACTGGTTTCAGTTTCTTGTACATTATGAACCAACTGACATTAATACATACCAGGATTAACTTGGGTAACTTAATATATGGATTTGTTAATACTCTGTTTCCAATGACATATCACGACGAGAAGGTGTACAAAGGTTAGTGGTCCCGCTTATGTACCAGACAGAGCATTTTGATAATGATTTTATGGGTCAAGTAAGAACCTCGACTTAGCTTTCAGATCAGCAATCTATGTTCATATACAGTACGTCTAAACTGAAGTAAGATTTTAATTTCGAATACGGGTGGATTAGACATTTTCTGCTACATAACATCAAATGATACTTCTACATTACAATGTACAAGTTGAGAGTTGCTTCCCTAAAGACAGCCTTAACAGTTAGTTCTCTTTGGATAAAGTAAAGAAAGTAATCAGTTGAAGCCATTATCTATTCTTATATATATGTAGAGAAACAAATAATGGAACACAGGAAAATTCAAGTATTCCTTTATTATTTTTAAGTTTTCATCACCACAGCGCTATTCAAAGCTGGTGCTGAAAACAAGAAAATATCACAGGAACACTTGAATTTTCCTGTGTTCCTCTATTTGTTTCTCTACGTATATTATTTATCAACCCATTCTACCATGCTTCCTGACAAATCATGCTCTCACAATAGTCTGCAGTTTCAGTCACCAGAGGCCAAAGTCGTGTTTAATTTTGTGCAAGTAGACTCAAAAGTATTTTGCACAGACTGGCACATGACATAAGCTGAGGAAATAGAGACAGCAGCCAAGTTAGACACATTCACAAAGGATTATCGTTGTTAGTAAGTCATACTGTAACCTGGCAACACCTTGTTAATGGATTCAAAATGAAACATTCTTTGTTAAGATTATTCAGAAAGCAATATGTGTAATCATTTTTTTAATTATTATTTTAGGATATTTATATAGCGCACATATCCACGCAACTAGTGCATGCTCAAGGCACTGGTATTTTGTGTATAGATGGAATATTGCTGAGTGTGGCGTAAAACTAAACTCACTCACTCACTAATTGTGTACTGAACACCTTTCACAACTATCATAACTCTTTTATACTGAAAAAGACTTAAAAAACATATATTGCGAGGAATCTCTTAGAAAACAGGGATCCATATGGCATGTTTGTTTGTTTGTTCTTCAATGCAACACTAAGAGATATCCCAGCCAAATGACAGCAATCTACAAATAGTCAAGTCTGGACCAGACAATACAGTGACTGACTTTGTAAACAATAATTCATGCATTCTTGGTATAATGACACATTATCAACAAAACCACTGATTCTCTGCCCTGTACCACAAAGCATTCGTAGCTGTTCGACAGTCTAACTCTATGTTAAAGTAAGGGGGTTATGAATAAATGTCATAGCACTATGATCACTTTGTGGAACCGGCCACTGAACACTTGACCCATTTGGTCACCTTTGGTCTTTAGTTCCTACGCCGCTTGTAGCAATATTCCAGCAAAATCACTGCTGATAAGTTAAGTCCGGATTCCCCAAATTTGAATTTCATCCCCCTCAAAACAATGAATAACACTTTAACAAGTATTTTCAGCTGTGGCCACCAACTTTCCAGCAGGCTTCTTACAATGAGTGACCCGCTCACTTGAGAATACAACTTATCTCAGACACTCACAACTCCAGAGACTCTCTTAAAGTGGAAACACATGGACTGTGTGTCATGACTAAGGAAACTGTAGCACCGTATACCTAACTTCGGTTGGAGCCTGTCAAATACTGCACTGACTTCAGTCACATTGTATAACATATTCCAATAGACAGAACAAGCATTACAACACTACAGGTTACAGATTACATCAGGTATCACAATATATTGTTGACAACCATGCATCATGCAGAGATATTGTTCAGAACAATAATAATGGCAATGTGATCATTCAAACAGTTCCTGGAGACAGCAACATCATAGCAACAGTATTTGATGGGTTTTTCTTGTAAATGTATACTTTGCCTGGCAAGAATCCTAAACTTCAACTTAATTCAAATTTCACAAAACATCATTAATCAGAAATACTCAAACATGCATTCAGTACTAAAATCAAAGATATAAAGTGATGCAATAAAAATTTGAAAAGAGTGAGTGTGTCACAAGTTTCTAAATATAAAAATTATCTGCTAAGAAAGGCTTCTGGACATTTTCAATATGTGAGATCTCACTTAAGACAATAGGGGTGCCACAATATATAGAAACATCACAAAGTTACACCTGATTTGGTACCTGACAAGCCTACACATTTGTCAATAGATACTTATTATTTCAGCATTGCAAGAATGCTTATTTTACAAAGTTTCCCAACCAACTGGCCTGTAGGCGCTCAGGTTAGCTCAGCCTTGCCACCTTTTACACACAAATGCTATGTCAGTGTTTTTGTGTTCATCCAACACTTCTATGAAAGTGAAACGAACAGGAAGTGCATTCATTTTCAGTGTAAAGTCACATCAAAATAATTCAACAGATAGTCAAAATACAAAGCATCATAAATGCACACATATATAAAGACTATATCAAAGATAATGAAATCAGAAAATCTGCAAAAAAACAGTAATTTCAGGAGTTAAGAAAACTTTTCCAGATGCTATGGTGCTGTGTCAAGGATTGTGAAATATATCACCAGTATTAGACCACCTCTAGTATTGAGTTGCAATGGCAGACTTCAGTAATAAACTTAACAACATGTTGCATGCATGGGTAATATTACTTTTCAACCTTGAAACAGGATGGAGTGATTTCCCATATATTGCTAACACAATTAAAAACACTGAAAATACCAGATAATAGCCAGACACTGATATTGAACTGATGAGGAACTTGATTAAGTTGTCATTTAATGTGTGTCTGGATCATTATCATGTTTGATCATCTCTCACAACCAGAACAGTTTGCTGGCCAGACTGATGATTATGGATCCTTATCAATATTATACAATTATACAAGTCCGAGGTCAATATTGCTTTTCGCGGGTCCATAAAAACAGGTATTGACCGAATTTTGCCAGTCTATAATTGTTTTATTATGTAATTACCAAAAAAAAAGCTTCTAAAATCCAAAAGATTTTCACTACAAACCAATAACGTTATGTCAACAATACTGTGACATGTAAACAATAGAATGACGTCATAGCTTGACGTGAATGACGTCATAGTAACTCAGGTCAATATGACTTTTGGTCGGACCTGGGTTGGAGTCAATATGCTTTTCTGTCGACGGTCACGTGACCGCCTCTAGACCAATCAGGTAGCCAGAAAAATATGCTTACATAATAAAGCAAATGATAAAAAAATATCTTTGCATGAAAATCTATATATCTGCTGATCTAATTTCCAGTGTATTTCCATATCAGGCTGTTTCAGTTGCTATTCCTCATATGTTACATACATGATAGAATTGTTATATTTATGAAGTCTATAATTGAAAATTCTTAAGTTATATGACGTATAAACAGTTTCTGTGGGAACTACTTTCGACACGGCTCAATGACACACAGGTCTTCAACATTATATATATATACTCCTGACCGAAAAAATAAGGGTCCTGATGAAATGACACTGAAGATGTAATGACCATTAATCTCTGTAAAATGAATACCAGGCCAGCTGATCAATGTCTGGTGTTTCCACCATCTTGGAATACATGCACAACACCTTGATGGCATGCTGATTAACTTGTGTATGGTTCCCCTTGATATTGCCTGCCATTTAGTCGGGAGAGTTATCCCAAATTTGGCCCTAAAAGTTGATGCTCTGGTGTTCACTACCCAACAGAATATCCCACAGAGGCGCTATTCGGGGATAGTCGTTGACGACCTGGTCATAATGTGCTCTGGTATTGTCATCATGCAGTTCAAACATTCTGCAGATAATACTTGTCAGTGGAACAACAAGATGATACACAATTTCCTCGGCGGCAGGTCAGTTGTCCATTCATAAAAACCCAAATCTGTTCACCTGGTATGTGTGATACCACCTCTTACAACACTAACCCCAATTTTCATTTGCCAAACATTCCAGCAACTTGGAATGTTGATGTCCCCTCCATCATGCCCACATTTTGCCATATTGTCTATTAATATGGTATTTCCTCAGATGAAATATAAAACACTGTTGCACTAGTGACTGTGAGCTCCTCTATAGGCCCCACTGTGCTCTCTGTGTGTGGGAGTCACATGCTGTTCATGCATGAAGTGAAATCTCACTGACTACATGTTGATGCACATGCAACCTTATAGTATTGTAAATATTCACTGCAATGACTGCTACAGTGAATTCATTAGCTCTCTTATTTTTTGTAGGAAGGCAAGAGTGTTTCCCTGTCATATTACAAATGTATCTGATATTTTCATGACCTGAAAGATTTGACATATCTGGTCAGGTCACTCAAGGAAATAAATGTTATTTGACAAGAAAAACTAAACATCCTTACTCAAACAAAGTAAATTGAAGCAACGGGTGCTTGGATACTTAAAGTTCTTGGTTAGGGCTTGATTTAGAATGTATCATTAGTAACCATGACAACCCTTTTAAATAAAATGAATTCACACACATTGTATGGTGAGCCACAACCATCAGATTAACATATACTGTTATGTGTTAATGCCCTTCTATTGTTAAAAATTACTATATTTGAGAATATTAATTTTGTCCTATTCCCACATTGTACCAATCCTTACACAAGCACCATCAACCAGTATTAGACTGATAACCATGACAGTGTCACAGACAAGTGACTAACGACACAATGGAGCAACATACAAAACTAACACACAACCATATGTTACCTTCATAAGGCTTCTCTGTAATCAAACAACACAAGAGGCTGGTTAGATTGTTAAAGCACCAAGGGCATGCACTAAGCTTGTATTGCAATGGGAATCTATTCACTGTAACAACCAGTATAACTAAAAGTCGACATGTTAAGACTGGATCTGGTCTCCCACGTGGGAAAATATTTTCATAAAGTTTATCAATCTACAAAACAAAATGTTGGTGTGTTCAAGCTCTGGAGAACTTTAGCATGTTGTCGATATTTAATACCATGTGAAAAACATTGTTTAGACACCAGTTGAGTTTCTACATGCTGTTAATAATATTGATAACAAATCGCCTGATCCAGTCTTGACATTGAAATAAACCAATCAGAAATTATCAACTTGGAAATTCAACCCATCTTTGACTACTGCTTATGTTCTGGCTTATATCAAGTTACTGAAGTCAGTCTGATACATATCTCAGGCAACCCAAGAAAACCAGCAGAGAGCTACTGAACGATGGAATATGTACATACTTGGCATACCAACTACAAGGACACAATCCCCATCAAAATGATAAAAACTTGACATTTTCAGAGTCACCTAACACAGAAAATCGCAGAAAACAAGAACCCGAATATGCTTGCTCTGATCTGTTTCAGAACTCACACTGGCTGTCAACAAGCAGCTCAAAGGAATCATTAGTGGTATATTTTTTTCAGTCATTTATCATAAATTCTTCATACGTGACACATACATTAAAATGTCCTCTGCCATACAGATTGTATATAAACATTCAAGCTTGTTGACAGCTGTAATTTGTGTAGCTATTTCTCGTTAAAGTGTGTACGTTGTCAAAAGTTGGGTAGCTCTCTGGTAGGATTATTATATTGCTTCTGATACATTGCCCAAATGAAGTGACAATATCTAAATCTGATTCAATTCTAGGTAGTCAGTATTTACATATAATCAACACATAAGCACAGTCAAATGAACCTATGGAATCCATTCTATACATGAAGATAAGAAAAATATTTCCACTTAGAATCGAAAATAAACATTTTGCTAAAGTCAAATATACCAATTTGAAGTTATTAAAATGTTATGTTCAAAATACCCTCACTCAGACCAAGGAGATTTACAATATGTTTGCAATGAACCCTACAAGGCTTGTAACCAAGGCAACACAACAAGTAAAGTGAGCAGAATTGATCTACCAGATAAAACTTGTGAGTACTGTTTGTTAAGCATCTTTCTCTAATAATAAAGGTAGTATTAGTGTTACTGCAGCATTAAGGAAACCAACAACAGACGTAGTACTGAAGCTCCTCACAGTGACATCTTCTAAACATTCTCCATACAGTCTCTACCACCACACAAAACTCTTCACACTTCTATGTATCTTTTCCACCCTCAGGTTTCAGTTCAAAACAGACTACTATATTATAAAATGATATTTACAAAGACAAGAAGGTTACCATGAAAATACATCTCAGCAAAAAAAGTCAGGTTTGGAAGTAATTATTTTTTAAGCAGTTTTTGGAAATGAACAAATAACCTTGGTGAGTCATCAACAATATTCATATGTGCAGATATTTCCCTGCACAGAAAGAATTTTTTATCTGAGATAAGTTTTTGAATGTCTTGTCACTGTGGTGGAAGCAATGATATTGAGAATGTAACAAAGGTTGTCACAAGATCTGATTAAGCTGGTTTAACTACGGTCTTAACAACGTAGAAGAAGTTTCAAAGCATAAATGTATGATTCAAACATATCAAGCTACATTCAATATAACCATAAATTTTGATTTAAATCTGCACGTGGAACAAAAAAGACTTGTTAATAATTGTCTTGTTTCTCATGACCAACCCATCGCTAAAACTGTCACCAACCCCCATAAACATTTTGCAGATGTATTGTCCATTTTCTAACTGTACCACAAAAGAAAATCAAGCTTCTCCCTGGTCTGATCTTTTATGAAAGAAAATATGAAGAAATATGCCTCCCATGGAACTTACTAGGTTTAACTAACTGATGAAAACCTAACAGACAAAGAATGTGGTGACAGTGAAACAAAAACAATTTTTCTTAGTTAACAAAAAATATAATATCAGAAAACTTTAACAGTTTCATTTAAAATCACGAAAATCATGACCACGTAAACATAAAAACAAGCATTATGATCGTCATGCATCATCATATTAGGGAACTAAGAAAATAATTGGGTGGAATCTAGAAAGCTGTTAAATAACACTGTATCTAGCAATTAACTCAGAGGGTTTGAGATATATACACATATATTTTAATTACAGGGAGAAATTTCTTTGAATGACAAAGAACAAAAAAATCACGTCTTGGATTTCATTTAGATTGTTAGAAAATGTTTAAAAGTGAAAGATTTCACTTATATTGTTATAAATACTTAAAATGTGATAGTGTTTCTCAAAGCTACTGAATTTTACCCTCTAAGATAATGAGACACAATCAATACTACAAACATCATGATCATTATACAAACCTCCTCTGACAACACGATCAATGTAGCTTATAAAAACATCTAAATCAATAAGCTCAACAAAAGTTCGATCAGTGACATGTTTAAGTTTTAAAATGTTTACAACATACTCACTTGCAAGTTTGCTGTCAGGGCCGTATCCATACTTAGACTGCGGTCTGACAAATACAGTTTACATTAAATATCAGAATTAAACCAATAGATGCAAATAATCACTATAGTGGCATGATAGAAGGGGCAGGGATAAACCAAGGAATTTGTTTTGGTGGGCCAATGCCCCACCTGGTTAATTTTAGGTGGGCTCCTTTTAGATTTGGGTGTTTGAAGTTTTCAGCTAAATGTATTTACTTAATTTTATGTTGATAAACTGTTTTAATAAGCTCGTAATTTTTTTCTGAGACATGATCAATCACGATCATGAACAAAAACAAAAAACAAAAGTTACCATATGAAAGTTTTTTAGAAACACACGCTTTCATTGGCTGAACTTATTACAACAACCAATCTGGGATATTATTGCATGTGGATCAAAACTGGTTCACTTAACAGTCTTTTTGCGGGATTGCAGCAAACGATAACAATATTTATTGCATTATATTTACTTTGGCCACACTTGTATATTTTGGATGTGGCGTTTTCAAATATTTTGTGTCCACAGGAAACGCATCCTAGGTTTATCCCTGAAGGGGTAATATCAATGAAGAAAATTGACATAGATTTCAAACATTATTCTTTCCATGCAAGTTGGCAACATGTATCTCAACATATTATCAAGGACTGTTATAATCACATACTTATATCATTATCTATATACAGACTCAGTCATGTGTATATGAAATGGAACGGTTGGTCGAAGATCTGTTAAAGGCTTCCTGATATTCAACACTCACTTAAAGCAGTTTTCTTCATAGATGGTTCTCCAGATCCTGTGAGGGGATGCCCCCTTGTACCCTGTGTACCTCTCAGGATTCAAACTCAGATCCACATACTCCAGATCCAATGAGTTTTCATCTGCCAATACAGATGTTTAACATGTTGTCACTTGTAATGTGATGCTATGGTCATTGAATAACACAAACTGTAACATGGTGTCATGGTCATTGAATAACATAACCTGTAACATGGTGTCATGGTCATTGAATAACAACCTGTAACATGGTGTCATGGTCATTGAATAACACAAACTGTAACATGGTGTCATGGTCATTGAATAACATAACCTGTAACATGGTGTCATGGTCATTGTTAACATGGTGTCATGGTCATTGAATAACACAAACTGTAACATGGTGTCATGGTCATTGAATAACACAAACTGTAACATGGTGTCATGGTCATTGAATAACACAAACTGTAACATGGTGTCATGGTCATTGAATAACACAAACTGTTACATGATGTCATGGTCATTGTATAACACAAACTGTAACATGGTCATTGAATATCACAACCTGTAACATGGTGTCATGGTCATTGAATAACATAACCTGTAACATGGTGTCATGGTCATTGAATAACACAAACTGTAACATGGTGTCATGGTCATTGAATAACACAACCTGTAACATGGTGTCATGGTCATTGAATAACACAACCTGTAACATGGTGTCATGGTCATTGAATAACACAAACTGTAACATGGTGTCATGGTCATTGAATAACACAACATGTTACATGGTGTCATGGTCATTGAATAACACAAACTGTAACATGGTGTCATGGTCATAGAATATCACAAACTGTAACATGGTGTCATGGTCATTGAATAACAAACTGTAACATGGTGTCATGGTCATTGAATAACACAAACTGTAACATGGTGTCATGGTCATAGAATATCACAAACTGTAACATGGTGTCATGGTCACAGAAGAGGATAATAATCTGTAACAGCGCATCATGGTCACTTAGGAGGAAAATGACATAACCTGTGTCATGGTCAAAACATAAGCTGTGTCAACACAGTATTTCACAGTGGACTGTAAATAGCTGACATGAGACAAAGATATGAGGGTACAATAACATCCAATATACTAGGTCACTTATTATCATTGTAGCATACACAACATCAATTGTGACCTGTCCAGCACCATAATACATTTATGTCCATCTTCAGTATATTCCAGGGCGGTCGGGTAGCCTAGTAGTTAAAGCGTTCATTCGTCACGCCAAAAACCCAGAGTTCGATTCCCCACATGGGTACAATTTGTGAAGCCCATTTCTGGTGTCCCCTGCCATAATATTGCATAAATATTGCTAAAAACAGCGCAAAACTATACGCAGTCAGTATATTCCAGTAACCTTAGCACAACTCACCATCAATGTCACAGAAGAGGTCTTGGGACTCGTCATGTTCTGTCCAATTCTTGAATGCCTCCTTACTCTCATCACTGCAGTGAAAATAGGCATCATTATACAACTGAGAACAACAGGCTATGCACAACATGCAAAACCTGCTGCAGAAAATGCCAAAGGCCAGAATAAATACATAAATATATTTTCTTCCCTGCCCGCCTGACGATCACTGTGCCTCACATAACTAAATGTCCCCAGGTCCAACCATGCATATGCAAATCATGTCTGTCGACATACGCCTGGACCAGTCTGCTGAGAAGTAAAGTGAAGTAAAAGACTGCACAGACAAAAGAGGTATACTAAGCCAGGCTACCTCAAGCTAAACCAAATACCTCATGCCTTGCATCACTGATAACATCATTAATATTTTATCATGTTTATTATGAATTTTCAATGATATTATATATGACACTATTCCAAATGCAGTCATGGAACGCCATTTTCTCCTGTGTGTATGTGTATGTACAACCACCATACGTTGCTGGGGATCACATTCTTGGAGAATGACAGTCGTAGTGCTCAAATCACCAAGTGGAAACAGCTCTTGGTCTGTCTGTACGTTAGTTTACAAATGCCATGAACCTAAGGTCCCACTGTACCTGATTGTGGTATCCAGGGCACTGAGCTCTCTCTCCTCTGCACAAGAATGTACCTCTTGAGCTTTCTCTGCATACTGCAACACACAAACAATGCTGGCTTTATGCGTACACCACTGAAAGACTAACAAACTGTGTAGGGACTTTCTAGATATTCCACAACATGTGTATGACATCATGGAAAACCACCGATCTTCTTGTACTACCCAAACAGTAACTCACTACGCAGACTTGTGCCCACTTGGGTACTAGGATCCTATATCTAGGTTAATGTGTCAATACTGTACCCATGCTCAATGGTTTCAACTGAAACCGTCTAACATAAGCGACTGTTATACAATTCATATACTATTTCTATGCATACTGCAACACAGGAACAATGCCAGCTATAAGTGAATGAGTTTAGTTTTACACTGCTTTTACCAATATTCCAGTAATATCGTGGCAGGGGACACCAGAAATGGGCTTCACACATTGTACCCATGTGGGGAATGGAACCCTGGGCTATATGAGTCAAAACAACAACGAAAATACTGTTCTAGGCAGTGGTTAACCTAACTCATGAACTATTAACTAAAGAAGGAATTGTAGGCTATGTTTTCCACACACTCACCAAAAGGTTTGCAGCAGTTTAGCTTAATAAAATATACTCATAATTCCTGCATATAATGTTTTATATTTACATAATATCAACAATCCTATGTTTCTGTGTATGAAATATTGTTTGGCCTACCTCAAATACATAATGTATTAGTATGCACATTACACAGCAATAAATAATGTAGGTTTTCGAAACAAAACACATGACAGATAGATATCAGAAAAGTTTAAAACTATTCATGCTTCTCTGATGACACATGACTATTCACAACTGATCGGGTCAGGAGATACCAATTCAAATATTTTTTCAGTAGGTAAGAAATTCTTAAAAGGAAACTTGATTCTAATCTTGTATGACATCTTGTATTACCCTGCAGCTATAGATCTGGTGAAGGCAAGACTGCCAAGTTCAGCTTACACGTGGCATTTTAAAAAAGTTTGAATTCTTATAAAAAAGAGTGAGTAAGTGAGTTTAGTTTTACGCCGCTTTTAACAATATTCCAGCAATATCACAGCAGGTGACACACCTGAAAAGGGCTTCACACATTGTACCCATGTAGGGAATCGAAACTGGATGTTCAGCGTGACAAGCAAAAGCTTTAACTACCAGTCATAAATAATCTATCAGTCTGTGCCAAAATATTTCCAAGTTTATGGCTTAAAATGTCCTTCTTACATTATTTTCAACAAATTGCGTATCAATATATCCACTTTCTTAGCCAAAAAGGCTATTGTGACAAGACTCAAATTTTGGTTAATGGTAGAGGTGATAAATGTTTGTATCTCCCATCTACACATAGGAATACATAGCCAGTATGTGTAACAAGACAATCTCTGGATCAACACAGCTGTCTATCAACATTCAGCTGTATGTGCCATCCTTGGATGTAAGTCATGTATAGTTGATATACAACAGCCAGTTCAACACACACACCTGCCACTTTCACACAAGCCAATATCACTGTATGGCCATATGGCAGAGATAGGTGCTGCATTGTTAGTTGTCCACACATAAATCTCACTAGTCAGTAAATCAATATTTATAGCTGGCTAAATGTCATGGCATTTGGGCTCAGTGTGTTCAATGCACAATTAATGCTGCATGTCTTATGTATACAACTCAAAATTTTCAACAACACCTCATCAGTGTGCGAAAGTTACGCTTGTCCTGTGGTCCCTGGCTAGTAAAATTTCATCAGGATCACTAAATGATAAGATTGCAGTGGTCCAGGTCAGGTGGTCAGTGAATTTTGTATTGATAGTTAAGTAAATCTACGGTTATTTTGGACCAGTGAAGTACAGACAGGACCACTAATTATTGTCCACTCACTGGTCCTGTGGTCTAGTGGGAAATTTGAGAGTATTAAATACTCTTTAGAGCATTATAAACAAGTAGCATATAACTATTAAAATAACAGACATTTTGGGGGTCTAATAAATTATTTGATAGCTTCTTGCATAGAAGTGAGCAAGAGGATGTTGTTTAAAAACTCCATGGTGGTTTGTAAATACGGTTGGTTGGTTGGTTTGTTGTTTAACATTGCACTCAGCAATATTCCAGCTATATGGCGGCAGTGTGTAAATAATCGAGTCTCGACCAGACAATCCAGTGATCAAATGTATGAGCATCAATCTATGCAACTGGGCTACGATGACATGTCTCAACAAAGTCAGGGAGCCTGACCACCTGTTCCACCTCTTACTACAAGCATAAATTACTGAAAACCAATTCTAACCCCGATCTTCATGGGACTGTGAGAGTGTAGGCCAGACAAACCAGTGGCTAATAGCATGAACATAGATTTAGGTCTGATGGCACACAGTCAGCCAAATCATACATTTTAACCACCAAATCCTCAAATGACAAAAATTGGGCATTAAAGGCCAACTCTGGAATCACCACGCCACAGTTTGGGAATCAGAAAATATTTATGTAGTATTTCATCACATTAATGTATTTGAAAAGGAAACAATATGCTTGGCTTTTGTCTGTTGTTCTTTCAATCACCTTTTTTTTTGAGTAGACATATTTTTTCCAGAAACATTATTCAGCATGAAGGTCTGATGACAACCAACAAAAGAGATTCAATCCACCCAATCCTCATTCCAATCATGTTTCCAAAGCTGGTTATACATGAAAGGGGCATACCATAAGACTCAGTATTCACATGCAAGAAGTCTGCAGAATTACTCAACACCTACACCACTCCCAGCAGTAGGGACTTACCTTGTTTTCTCTCCCATTGTTTTTAAATGCTGGAGGCACCTCATGCTGAAACAATAAAGTTCAGTTCTATATGATTTGTTATATTATTATTTTGATAATGATAAATTGGAAAGATAAATCCCCCCAAAATACCTGTAGACATGGATGAGTCATTCACTGTTTTCTAACACCTGCAAATCACCTGCCAGTATGTGCTGACATTGACATTTTTTTCTATCCCTCCATTTGTGCAATGTTTGCATTGTTTGGAAGGCTGCGCAAAAATCAATGGATGCGATGTAACCTGCTCTTATAAACAGGGGTTGACAAGTTCACTCATTTGCTTGTCTTGACAAATTAAAGCATGTCCTTGGCAAAAAGGATGCAAAGAACCCTCAATTTACTGGGAGATGACAAATTTTGAGTCATCTCAATTTATCTCAAATCATTTTCAATAAAATATGAATACTGATATACAGAGTTTACTAAAAGTAATTCTTTCTGGATGAACTCATTTGCATATTTATTGTATACTGATACCAAGTTTATTGGACTAGTTTATCTCACAGGGAACTCAATCCAGTATGTAATAAACATATCTACCTCTATGAACACACTAAAATGCCAGTCTCGTGGGTAGAACTTTGCAGAAAAATCAGCGAGATTCACAAGTTTTGTGTAAAGCTGCAAGTCTTTAAATAATATCCTACTGCCATATTAATTGTTGTTGCTTTTGACCACTTATTGACAGGCATTGTGTAGCCATAGTTTTTGGCTATGGAAGCCAAACCATTTTACACTTGCCAGAGGGATACATACCATGGGCGGATCTTGGGGGGGGTGGGGTCAGGGGGGGTTTGAAAATGACTTAAGATCACATTGAAGTTTTTTTGCAAAGCCCAAATGAACTTCAAAACTGGATCCGCCCATGCATACAGTATATGATCTAGACTACCACTTGTCAGACTTCCATTTTTGTGGAAGCAGGGTGGGGGTGCTGGGTGTCTGGGAATTAAGTATGACTCTCAGAGTGAGGGCATCCAGGGGGTGATGGGGGTATATGATCTAGACTACCACTTGTCAGACCGGTTCGAATCATTTTGTGGAACCATTTCTGGTGGCTGTGCTGACTTTGTGGAATATTGGGAATTAGGTAAAACCTGACTCAGTCAGTCAGTCAGTCAGTCGAATTCCAGATGGGATTCAACCCCCAAAATGCATGAGAATCTGTGCTTTACTGAGAAAGTATAGTCTTAAACATAACATAAGTTACATCTGAATACTATAAAAACACATTGTGTATTCAATTGTGTTCCTTGTTCATATATCGGTACTTTCAGTTATTTTGTTGTGAGACTTTTCTGATATGTACTAAATCAAGAAGCAGTCATACATACTTCCTTCCTTTTGGTGGTAATGTGCTCTCAAACTGACTTACTACTATGTCTTACTCTGACAGTGACAATACATTTTTAGTTATCAGGGAATGTGAATTTGTTATTTTTTGTAAGCAACCATGGGAAGGAAGATAACAAGGGAAGATCCCCAACATAGACAACAGGTTACTGAGTGAGTTTAGTTTTACGCCGGACTCAGCAATATTCCAGCCATATGGCAGCGGACTGTAAATAATCGAGTCTGGACCAGACAATTCAGTGATCTTACTGCAAAACACAGATTGTTTGGTTTTTTTTGTCGGAATCACAATGTCCTGTTGCAGTCTTGAAATAGCACAACAAGCATGTAATAGAAACCGTGTCACTTGTTACATTTCACTATAGCATGGCTGATCTATAATACTAGATTGACTGCAATGATACATTATGCAATGATATTTTAGCTGCATGCAGTTACTGTGAGAATGACAGCAGGCAAGACAAATACTGTGCTCATTAGCACCTACTGGCTACAAATAACAATCCATATTTATCTTAATAGCTGCACAGATTTATAACGGGCAGCAATTATGTATAATCTGTGCCCTGTTGGTGGTAATACCAAATAAGCCAAGCCAGAGGTGCTAATTGAGCCTCACCTTATTAGCACTTTTAAGATTGATTTGGGTTGTTTTAAAAACAGGCCATGAAGTATGTATACGCTTACATTTTCAGTGTTCTCGGACATCATATTTTACACCATACTGGCTGTTACATGGCATTTGCATATTAAAATATGTCTGTCTGTCTGTGAAAGTGTAAAGATTAAATTATTTCTTCAAATGAGCATTACAAGATCTGAGTGTGATGTATATTTATATTGCTCAAGATCTTAAAAACAACTTCTGCTTTCTTTGTATTCATAATGTCCACATTTATCTACAATTAAACCATTTAGGCTGATAAAACATAAATACAAGTTTATATTACTAATGCTTAACACTGGAATATATAGGGTTCGTTTTCATATATTTTACTTCTTAGACAAGATGTTATATTTAAGCTGATGTCACGTCTCTAACTCACCCTAACAGGAAGTTAATTAGCTGATGTAATGGATGCCATGATATATGCTAGCTCTCATCCTCAGGCAATGGGTTCTGGTCAATCCACACCCAATTAATCTAATTGAGGGTCTGGCCATGACTGTAAATGTGTAGAAAACAACTTTGGGTATGATGGGGGTCATCTCAAAATCAATATTTCAATTATCACCACATAACAAGAATGACTGAATAAGTGATTGGATGAGTGGTTGATAGACTAACGCTTAGTCCCTTAATATATATAACTTTGATAGTAACAAATAAACCCATTTAAACTGAAAAGGAGCCCCAGTGAGTTGGGAGAACCTGGGGAAATCTAGACTTGCTTCACTTAGACCTTTAGCATTGCAGCGAGGGCTAGGCATTAGGGAAAATAAGGTGGTTCAGGGACTATGAGACAGACTAAGTCAATAAGTGGTTGACTGATGTGAACTAAGACTTCCAACCAATAACATCAACAGCTGTGCCGATTTACACAGCATGCTCATAGTTTTTAGGTCTAAAACAGAAAAATAATGAAATTAATTCCTATGTAAGTAAAATAAGATAGTATGTGTCTACAAACATATTTCCTGCACAGTGATTTCAGTTGCTGTTTTAGTATATGAACTAACTGATCTTCCCTAAACGAAAAGAAATTCAATATAGTGGTCATGCTGGGGTCCTGTGTTCATTAAACAATTGTTAAACTAACAAGGATAAGTCTAATGAGCTAATTAGGCATTTGAGCAACACTCAGATTACTTTCAGACCAGTAAATTGGGAGGTGATGTGCAGTCAAAAATCAATTACTGGTTTGTTATCTTGCCGTAAGCATAATGAAGCTGGCAATAAATCTGTGTTGTGCTGAAGCCAATACACAGCATATACAGGTCATGTTGGTAGACAACTGAAAGACCACATTCAGTGATTTCATCATCACTATGGGATATTACTGCTATGGTAAAATAAACATGTCAACTGCCATGAAAAAAGTTGTTTCCACATTCTCAATCAGTTGGAAATTAACCTATTTGATGTTACTATGCTAGAAAAGAAAAACATATCTACCGTATAGTACCGTAGATAAGCCAGTCTAAGTAAACTTAGGCTCAGTATTATTCATTATACTGTTATACTGAGTCTAACCAAACCTAGTAGAAGGCGCGTCAGCTAACCTATTGGACTGACCAATCAGAACACAGCTTACCAAATCACGAAAGTTCACATTCGCACATACCGTTTGAACCTTTACCTCAAAACTCGAATGATGCCGAATGCTATTTTCCACACGATCGCTTCCAAGTGATACACATGGAGGACGCAATGAGTAAACAATCGCTGAAAATAGTGTTTTTGACAATATTCAAGGATGTCATCTTGCGGAAATATAAGCTAATAGTACCCATGTCATTAGAAACCCCTAAACATATATACTGCAAGTCAAATATCTGTGTTTCATGCGGATTTTCGTTTGTTGATAGGTCAGTGTCAGTGTCAGTTTAAAAGCGGCGTAAAACCAAACTCAGTCAGTCAGTCAGTCATACTGTCAGAGAAAACAAATGTCAGAGAGGTTTTGGTAGTTGCAATCTTCATCATAGAGACAATAAAAAATTAATAATAAAATACTCATTTTCATGATATATAACCTCAGAAAGCTGATAACAGTCTCTTTAGTAATGAGCTCAGTAATCAATTATTCACAAAGACTTGAAAGGGCAAATGTAATAATCAATTTTGCTGATGTTGCTAAAACAAGCCACTGCAAATCCCACGGAGAAATGAACACACATGGTAATTGGGTCTCACACAAATCCTTTTCAAGAAAAGTTTCAATCAAAGAAACACAACATATAACAAGCTTAATGCCTGCAAGAGAAAATCAATAGATATCTTAAAATGGGAGACATATTCTACCACAAAATAATCCTGAATATTTGTGAAAAAAAATCTCTTCGCTAAGAAATGCTACTTTTAAATTTCTTGTATTAATATCAAATATGACGTACAATCTTCAAAATGTTTAGAAACCGATCCATATCCTAAAAAATCTGTTTCCTGATAGTTCATATTTTTTTCTGGGCTGATGAGGATTTTCTTAGCTTGACACACATCTAACAAAACTGAAACATCATTTCAGGAAATATATCTTTATCATTGACCTTGGTATTCATAAAATTTCCTTTTATAATGTTTGTTTGTTGTTTAACGCAGCACTCAGCAATATTCCAGCTATATGGCGGCGGTCTGTAAATAATCAAGTCTGGTCCAGACAATCCAGTGATCGACAGCATGAACAACTGGAATATAACATGTGTCAACCAAGTCAGCAAACCTGACCACTTGATCCCATTAGTCGCCTCATACAACAAGCATGGGATGCTGAAGACCAACTCTAACCCTGATCTTCACAGATCTTTTCAGAATGCTGTGCATCACATGTTCAACATATCGCCAAGTAATCTCCAAGTTTGGAATCAGTAAATTGCCTAAATAACACTTCCACTGAATCAAATTAATTAATTTCGATTGAATCAAACCATATGTAGTTTCTCACCTCAGCACACATGTCCACATGGCAGTCCTTCAGTGCACACCGGCTGTCGTCCGACCAAAATGGACATCCCTTGGCAAGATTCACCTATAGTAAATAAATACATTACCGTAATTAATTAGTTAGAAGAAAATAATTATCAAACACACTGGCATCACTGGTGGCACTTGTAATTCTCACTGAAACCAGAATCAGATCATATTAAATCATATGCCAAAGCAACTTCATCGTCATCATTGGTTAGCGATAATATAAAGTAGAACTTCAGATAGGGTGACATGAAGTTGGGGGGATAAGGTGTTTCATTTTTTAACACTGAGGGTAAACTGTTCCAGGATATACAACAATAATTCATGTTGTCAGCAAGATTAATATCCACATTCAAATATGTGCGGTGAGTTAGTGGTTCATGTGGGTAGGGTTTCTATGATAGATTAAAACTTGATCGACGTAATGGTGACAACCCGGATTTGATTCCCAACATTGGAACAATACACTGCTGGATGGCCATTTTAGGTGTTCCTTTCAGTACCATTGATGGAATATTGCTATGAGTTGAGTAAAACCCTATTCACTCACTTACAAATAAATTTAGGACATACATGTATTCACAAAATTTTAACTGATTTTACATTATCTTTAAGTTCAAAACTGACTGATGGGTTAGTTTACTAAATCATTCTTGACAAAAAGTTTCCAAAATTTCATTGTTGATCATGCACATTAAACAAAATATCAAAATTACTGGCTTCAAAAAACACCTATCTCATATACACTGATATACCTGCTATGCTGGTTCAATGATTTGATCAAAAAATGAGTCAGACATATTGATACCAATATTTGATCAAATTGCATAACATACCACTGAACATATGGACTGGACTCATTGTGCTATTGCTTTGGTTCTGCAATTCAGACACAAATTACAATTTTTGAATTCTCTAATAGATTTTTCTATTGACACTGTCAGTATATATGAAAAGAGTTCTATTGACGTATTCCTCAAACAATATAATTTAGAAGCTGCTCATCAGTCTGAGAATACTCAAGAGGCTGTATCTTGTGTTTAGTCTGGAAGAAACTGTAAGGTTCTGTTGACATGCATAAAACTTCCTAAGGCTAGACAGAAAGATACATCAGATACCTTACTTTTGACATACACAAACATACTCCAGCATGACATTATATAATCACTGCTATCTTATTTAACAATGCCCAGTCACATGGCGCACGCAATATGCTGAAAGTGTGCTGTTTACCAAATCCCCTAAAACATCCATTAGCCCTATTAATATTGCCATACCAAAGTACATTTGTTTTTCATATTAAGGCACATCTCATGATTTTACAGAAATATAGACATGTACCTGGCAAAACCTGGTGTTAATGTCAGACGTACCATGCTGTCAACATCGGAGGTATAGATAACAACTACTTAAAGCATGACATAAAGCAATAATGTAGACATTTCAGATCAATTTCAAACCATTAAAATGCGCTCAAAAAAAAGAAAAGAAAAGAAAGGCAATAGTAGAAAAATGGAAATATCTTACTGCGTTTTGCTGATATTCTTACAAAATTAATACCGTATATGATTTTCTCGTGTCTGCATGCATCAGAAGTCATTTGTGCAAGTAGAATAAAGTCCAGCCCATAAATATGCAAAAACTTTGGTATGATAAAAGTACATCAAGTGAAAGCATGCCATGACCAGCATTTAAAATTCCCGTCTGCCCGACCATCTGGAACAGTCTGTTTTCATCTCAGATTTCAAAAGTAGCCTGTCCGGTGGTCTGGTAGATAGTTTTACCCCTAAGAGTAAATATTTCATAATATCAGACAGGTTCTCTTGTCGTCAGTTTGAGGTGTTTAAGGTATTATGATAATTATGTGGAACTACTTACGATTGGACAGTTCATGTTACAATAACCAATCACAATCATGTACTTTCAGTTTACCTAAACTCAGTGCATTGCCTGTTAGTGCTATGTAGTTCACTGCGATGCCTACAAACAGTGAATGGAGCTTGCGCGGTTGACAGTCACAGTGTTTGATTGTTGAAAACCGGACAGGCAAGTTTGTATCTGGACTGGTAATTTTTAAAAGTTTTAATGTTACCAGTCCGGCTGTCTGGCTTGGAATTTTTGGAGTTTTAAACACTGGCCATGCAACAATGCATGGTAGACATGTCTAGGGTAATTTAAACACACAATCTTACACAAATTAAATTCCTCGGCCACACATCCTTCCCATTATGCATCAAGCACACATCATTCTTCAACACGACAACACCCAACCTCACATGTCAAGACAGACAACAGCCATTTTGAGGAACCACAACATCCAAGTACTGCCAAGACCCTGAAGATCTCAATATCTAAACTCATCCAACATTTATGGGACGATCTTGAGCAACAACCACACCAACCTACAATACTTGGCACAGGCAAAGTGGGTGAACAATCCACTCTCATTGGAACCATACAAGATATTCAGAACAGATGACCTTCACTTTGACATTCAGTTGTTTCATGTGTGGCATGATGAACCTCGGCCTGTGACAATGATTTTGTCTTGTTGTTTAATATACCCGGTACTCTTTTGCAGATAAACCTATTGTTATATCTTATTTTATGAGCACTTTGGGCTGACATGTTAAAATAGGCTCATAAATGTCCCGCACTAGAATTTTGGTTTAAACATATTTATTTCTGATAAATTGTTCAGAAACTGGATCAGCAAAAAGCAAAAAGCTTATATTAATGCCTCTCCAGACAAAATAACATTTATGCGACTTGCATTTCATAACATTATTACAAAAGGACATATCATAGATAACATTAAGCATACAATATACATGAACATAAACATCACTACAGCAAAAATGCTTTTAGGATGTCATTGTTGCCATAGTAATAGTTTCAACTGCTAATGTGTTCTCATATATATGTAATATATACACAGTAATGGTGATACAGATGGTCCATTACTCTAACAAATATATCTGGAATCTAAACCCACAATAAAAAACAAATCCCATATTTCAACTGTTCGATAACTGCTTTTTAATCACCTCATCAGCGCTAAGTACACATCATCACTTTATGACCTGGCATTGTCAACACATCTTCAGTGTTTCATTACAGTTTATATGAACACTATAACCAGTGTGTCAGCACAGCAACATGTGTCGCAACATGATGACGACAGCTTGCGCAGACAACCTGCTGTTGGGGAGGACATCATCACAAAGACTGATCTATAATATACATGCAATGTCACATTTCTTGCAGTTCAAAAGTAAAAATATGCAACAGATCAAATTATTCACACCAAAGGTCAAATGGGGTTTAATATTATGTTAAAAGTACCTATATAATGATGTGCATTCACATCCGAGTGTGTCTATTTGTACTGGTCATCACTAATGCCAATTATAGTGCAAGCTCACTGAAACACCTTGATGCAGTTTAACATGGACACCAGACACAGTATAATGACTCCAAGACAACAAGCCCTGGTTTTATCCCTGAAGTACCATCTGTTACCATCTGGTCGAGGATCACCGACCATCCACTCTCAGGACAGACTCTCTATTGACAAAGCCACTGAGATGACCTCTCGCTCTATAATTCATAGCAGTGTTATAACATCCAAAACATGTTTTACAATGGGTCAGATACAGGAAGGAAGTCCTTTGAGTCACACTAGAAATGTCATTTATTTTCAAAACACTTTTATAAATTCATATACAAATTATCAGACATGTTCAATGTGACAAGACATTTATCTTTCTTAGTGTCATACACAAGTATGACTCAAAAGAGTCAGATTTTAAGAAGTTCAAATGAAAATGTGAGTATTGGCAGTTCATTATCTTAAATGATTTTTTTTTACTATTGTGTGTATTATGTTTAAAGTATTACATCTATGAAATCAACTGGATAAAGATTTTTCTCATGTTCATATTTTGGAAAAATGTGAACATGAAAACATCTAAAATCAGTAATTTGGGCACATTTTAACTTTAGTAAAGAATCCAGTGTTTTGTTAAATCCCAGACATGCAATTGTTGTAGTGGACACAGACAAGATCTCATGGATATTAACACAACTGATGTTGCTCCTAACCTATGTAAATACTTTAGTCAGTTCTTGAATTATGTAGATCCTGTGTACCACAACTGCTTCTGTTCCTACTGTGTCCTGTCTGTTTGATTAATGTCTTCACTGATATGATTTCAAATACTTGTATATAGGAAGATTCAGCTCTAAATAATATAATAATAAAGGTGGTTAATGAGGTAGGAATGGTTAAGAAGGTACTTAGGGTAGTTAAGTGATTAAACAACATAAACATAATTCTAAGACTTGTTCATCTACTACCATGACCACTGATAAACAAATAAGCGATTGATTTTATACCTCGTTTAACTTTGTATGAACCTGAACACTGCATTGGGTATGCAGCAGACTCAAATACAGTGTACACAATCATTTGAGTTAATTTTAGACCACAATTGGAAATCATTACTGACATTTACAAAGCAAGTATACAAAACAGCGGTCATGCTGGTGAATGTATCCAAACATTAATGCATATATTACTATAGGGTCAAAATGACATTATTTAATCATGTTAAATGCTACATTGAAATTGAATTTGGTATGGAAGTTCCAATGTCAAAATGTTCCAACAGTAGGTGTTAAAAGGACATAATTCAGCATCAATCACAAAGCCAAGATTGTTACAAAACATTCATGATCATTAACATCACAGAACATCATCAAACAACTATTAAATATCTTGAACAAATAACAACAATGTGTACACACATTGCAGGTGACATCAATAATTGTTTTGTTTGCTATTCAGGGCCACAGGCAACAATGTTCCACTTGAATATACGATGCTGACCTTTAAATACTCAAGTTTGGACCAGACAATTGTGATTGTTATTACAAGCAACAATCAGCTGGGTGCACACACCATCAATTAAGTCTACAAGCCTTGGCCCATTAAGTTGAATCATAAAAAACATAGGTTTCTATTGACCAATTCTAACCCTAAATCTATATGGATGCAATATTCAGGTTTATCCTCAACATGAATGCACCGCTGATTATCAGTGATAATGAAAACTGGATTTACACAAAGTACACATAGCTCATTTGATTCTTTTGTTCATTTTAAGGCATTATGTCTGAAAAGTCTAATGGCCAAGAATGAGTGACTGAGTTTAGTTTTTACGCCACTTTCAGCAATATCCCAGCAATATCACGGCCGGGAGACACCAGAAATGGGCTTCACACATTGTGCCCATGTGGGGAATTGAACCTGTGTCTTCGCCATGACAAGCGGATGCCTTAACCACAAAGCTATCCCACTGCCCCCTAATGGCCAAGAACTGTCCCTTGTTCATCACTGTAAGCATCGACATGTAAGGACCAAAACTAAATGAACTATGAGTTTTTTTAGGCTCAAGCTTCAGATTAGAGGGTTAAGTACCACAAAACTAAAAGGCTTTGAAATACACACCACACAAATATTACTGGGTAAGAAGATAAAACTTATCATGCTTGCCATTGCAAATACATTTCCAGCTGAAACAGAATTCTGTGAGGAATATGTACTGGTATCACTGTTAGCAGAGATGCCAACCCTGACCCTGAATCAAATGAAAGTGGAGTCAAGCCTTGCTAAAAGCAATTCCCGAGCCCTGAAGGTGCGAGTTGGGGATGAGCGTGAGAGAAGGCTCGGGCCCTTTTGATGGTGGGGGTTTGGGGGGGCATCCCCTATGAAAATCTGTAGATTTAGTCTGGAAATATGCAATTTCTGGGCATACTTAACCGGATAATTCATAACTGAAACGAACATATTTACTAAAATTGTTTCAAACATTCTAAATTTATAAACATATTTGTATTTTCTAAAAAAACAGTTTTTTACCGACAAATCGGAGTGTGGATTTTGTATTTGAAAATCGGAGTAACTCCTCCAAAATCGGAGTGGATGGCATCTCTGTGTTAGTATCTACATAATATACCAAACAATTCTCAGCTTGATCAGATGAGACACTGAAAAGAGACATTTTGTAAAACAATGGGACTGAACACAGACACGAGTTCATCATTTTGGTGGCATATACTAACAGCTCATTTCAGATTAGTGATTTAAGTACAATGAGTCAACTGTTCTGAGAAAGCATCTGGTCTACATTTAAACTTGTCCTGTACAAAGAGGATAGTGGCCCAGATTAACACTGGGAACCACCTAACTCAGCAATAAGCCAGTAAGATCTTACCTTAAAGTAACGGAAATAATCTCTTAAAACCAAACTTTTCAGTCGAGGGTAAATCTTCTGGTTGTTTACAGAATCAATTGTTTCAACTTTACAGGAGCAGTCATCAACTTCCCCTTTTAGCTGAAAAAGATCATAAATAGCTATGACAAATGGTATTCAAATACAAACATGCTTTTAATCTTAGAAAATGAAAAAGCTCAAGCATGTTGAGAAGAAAGCATTATTTAGCTGTTCTTTAGTTTTGTTGAAACTTCAAAGGAGAACCTCAAAGTTTGTTTATCATCTGATACAAATCGGAAATAATTTTACTCAGACAAAGACTACTGGACTTTATATAAGAACAGGAAATCAAAATTAGCTTGCCTGACTCAGGGAGAAAAATCAATTCTTGTGAACAGCCCTATTCTGACTAGACAAATTGTGTTTTGTACATGAAAAAGTAAACGTGGAAAATAGAATACTTGTAACATGTTTTTTGATTGTTTTACAGGTTATCAGAATATGTTATCTAAGCTGTATGCAGTTTTTCACATGAAAAATACTTTGAGTATCACTGGATGTTCTACCACAAATCAGAACTCTCTGTCAGCTAAAAGGTATGCCCACCCAGTTAGTTTAGCTGATTGCTATACACTGCAGAGCTTATTATTGAACATAAAAGTTATGAGGTCCTTGTCATAACCATAATTTGGGGGTTAAAACACTTTAGATTCAAAGCTTTTTTTCAGAACATTTAGAATTACTGTAAACCATGTGTTACTGACAGTACAATGTAGTTAATTCATCACCTTGCAGGATATTATACTCAGAACTACTACTTAAAAATCTGAAAATCTGCAGTTGATAGCCTTAATATCCCTTTTATTTCAACATAATAATAACTAATATAAATCAATCCTGTGGAAAAGCTACAATAGCACTGATTATGGATATGTGGAACTGCCCTAGTATTCAGAAAACCTCAGTTCAAGGCTAGACCCTGTAGCATAAATTCTGTAATGACTCATAACTAACATTTTCATCTCATGCAACCACCTATGGAAATGTCCTCAGGTCTTCAGACAGGGAGGTATTGTAACAGAGAAAATTATCCGATTTTAATTATATAAATTTGGAAACGTACTTACGTAGCGTGAGCTGTAAACCAACCCCATAATTTTAGATACAACAGGCATGAGCAAAGTATGTGTATTCCTTGTCTTTCATCAACATTCTAATGAAGGTGTGGCAGTATAATAACAAATCTTGTCATTGGGTGCTCGTTGGAATAGGGTTTCAATGTAAAGATATGTTTCATGGTGTTATGTAAACGCATAATTTCTCACATACTCTTCAGCCACTGTTATAGACTTCACACCTAAACTAATAAACTAAACAGATGTGAACAATCTTGATTCCAACCATTTTCAGTTCATGCTAATTATTCCATTGGTTAGTAGTTACAGTTGTGATAATTTACTAGTTTGATTGTCATAAAGGTTATTCTTGGTTTGAGTCTTTGACGTCCTAATTCTAGTGAAGACAAGCATGTTTTCATGAGAATGAATAAAATCAACGCACCTTGCAGAAGCATTTGTCATCTTTGTTTCCAGAGAATTTCTGACTTCCATTCTTAACTTTTACTCCTGCTGTCAAATGATTGACAGCAAGCATAAACGTGCACATGTAAACTATCCTCATGATTTCTGCTTCGGCGATTGTGATCACCCGCGGTTCAGTTCCGGCTTTTATGACATCTGTCAACAACGCTGATGCATCCCTCACTTTACACGTAAAAGTGCCTAACAACACCCACCAGAAGAACTTCCGAGTGAAATATAGTTACGCAGAATCATGGACGATTTAGCCGTAATTAAGAATTATTATTATTGTTATGGTTACAAACGTTGCTTCGTACTACCATATACAACAATAGAAGTGATTACAAGTACACCACAAGTGACCGTTTGTGTTGCGGATTAATTCACTTTACCGGAAGTTCAAAATAATACGTGGCACACGGATCTAAAACGAGTCTTGGGATTCCCTCGGCCTGGCACGAGGAAATCCCTCCTAATCAAAACAAATAGTCACCTTGCTGCAGTGTTTGGTTGTGGAGGGTCCACGATGATGCAATCAGCACGAAAGACGTGTATATACAGAATTATTCACGGCGGATTCAAATATCAAAATGTGACAACATGTGTGTTTATATTTTTTTTTAAATCAAACTTTAACAGTGGGCCTGGGACACGTGGGGATGACATTTATTTTTGCTAGCACGCGCGAAACTGCACGTACAGTTGCAAATGATGTGGGTTGGCACCCACACGTACGATGATTTGAAACGTGACAAGTAACATGGACACATTCTGTATAAGTAGCATTAATGACATTTAGGTATATATAAATTTCACTTCAAAATAGTCATTGCATGTCCTTGAGATGTTCGAAGTAATGTTACAACTAAAATCATTTAAATATGTCTGCTTCACATTTTTCAACATTTCAGGAATTCACATATATCAAGATTAGACAAAACAGTAAATATTAATCTGTTATTTTATCATAGTTTCCATAGTTTGCCCATATCTTTATCTGTGAATAATAGAGTAAACCAGTTTCTGCTCATGGGTAGTCCGGCATAGGATTGTATGTATGTTTCTGTATATGTGAGCGTAGTCTCAATCACTGGCATCTATGGTCTCACAGACCCTAGAAAATAAGTTTGAAAAGGTAACTCCAGTTTATAATTACATATCAAACTAGATCTTCAGCTCTAAAATTTAGCATTTATCTGGGTACTATTTGTGAATAAATATTTGTAAATACATATTATCAAGTAAGGTGAATATATTACTGGGATAAAATATTATCCCAAGTCAACAACACAACAGCTTTTAGAAACGTGATCATCATACTTCAGATTCTGAATCACACTTAACAGTTTCTTGTTTTCATTATATCAATGGATAATTGTGAAGAATTTATATTCTCCACTCAAAACATAGTATTTATCCACATGTTTAAGCGGTATCGTTTAAGCATCTTTTCCTCTTGCTATTGACATTAAAACAGCAATATTTCTATGTGATTATTCAGTAAGATGCCTCTCTGTAAAACAAACCAAGCATCCTACATCAACTACTTCGAATGTTGACTTGGTTCGACACCTCAGAGCAAGGATAAAGTCAAATGGTCCCCTCACCATTGCAGAATATATGAAAGAAGTTCTAACAAATCCTTTGTCAGTAAGTATTCTGACTGAGGGAGTTGGTGTGCCTCTCCAAATGAGTCTACCGTGTATGTGTCTCTCTGAATGAGTCTGTATGTTTGTCTGAGGGAGTTGATGTGTCTGTTTGAATGAGTTTGAGCGTCCGACCGACTGAGATGGAATGTCTGTTAGAGTGAATCGGTGTGTCTGACTGAGGGAGATGGTGTGCCTGTCCACAAGGTTTGAATGTGTCTGTATGCTTGTCCGAGAGAGCTGGGGTGTCTGATTTTATTTTTGTTCCCTATGTATAGTAATGTTTTAAATGTGGTGTCTTTTAGGCCTTATGAGGCCCGGTTGTTACATACATATATTTTACCGTTGTATATATTCTGAAACAACATGACACAGTAATAAACTATTCTATTATTATAAGTAGTAGTAGTATTGACATGCAGGTGTGATAGCCATATGGTCCTTTTGTTCAGCTTAATATGCTTAAAAGCACATAAGGCTACTGTGACATTCAAATACAGTTTCACTCTGATTATATATCTGGCTTTGTCATACCATGTTTATGGGTTTATTCAAAGAGATAAACCGCCATATAGCTGGAATATTGCTGAGTGCGGCGTAAAACTAAACTCACTCACTCAAAGAGATAAATATCTGAGACCTGCATCGTTAATGGATTTCAACACACATCACACTTACAAGCCACAACATAACTGAAATTCTGTCAACAGTAGCATCAAGCCAAGCTCACTCACGAAGAACAAAATGTATGCACTTTGTGTGATATTTTGGATGATTTTGTTAGATGTATTCATGATGTCAGTAATGTTATGTAATGTTATGTTGTTCTATCATAAGCTATCCCCAAATGAATTGTAATTATTCTTTCCTTTCATGGAACCATTCACAAAATGATGAGTAATTTAAACACTACTGTTGGAATGCTGGTTTACATCTTGATGATTTACTGTGATGTGGACCACCTCCGTGGTGTAGTGGTTAGAGTGTCCGCCTGGGGAGCAGAAGGTCGCGGGTTCGATCCCTGACCGCAACATACCAAAAGACGTAAAAATATGGTACTTGTTGGTCCCTGCCTGGCGTTTGGCATTAATGGGTACAACAAGGACTGGTCGGCTCGGAGTCAGTATAATGTGTCTGAGTGGGGTATTCATGCTTCACTGCGGCATGGTATCTCAGTGAGCTAGCACTATAAACCCAGCTTAAGTCTGGGCTAGTACAAGCAGGCGCACATACACATACACACGCATGCACGTCGTCATATGAGCAAAATATTCTCAAGCATGACGTTAAACCCAATTTTCCCTGACCTACTGTGATGTGGATATTGCAGGGCTACTACATGAAGAGAGATGTCTTCGGATCTCAAGGGGACTTCACTACATCTCCAGAAATTAGTCAGATGTTTGGGGAGGTGAACATTTTATCTACATCATTTTTATTGAGTCACTTTTCGTATCACCAAAGTTTTATAACATGTTCAATAACATACAGGTTTGCAGAAAGTGTGCTGGCATTTTAAAATAGACTCAACTCTTTGGCTGTTCAATCTTATCAGCATGTAAATATGAAATATGCTTCCTCAGTTTTTGTGAGATGATGGGGCATAAGGAGCCATAAAATGTTATTAAGAATAAAGGATTTTTTTTCCATTAAAATGTACCATATATTAATATTTGAGAGATGAAATGTCACTTATGTAAAATATAGAACAATAGCTTTTGTTGAGTAACCTCTTACATGAGGAAAAGAGTAGAAACATTTTCCTACCAATATGAACTTTATGAATTATTTGTTCATATGAAATTAAGGACTAGTATGTTAATAATGATAAAATAAAATCCCTATCTGAGATTAGTGTGACATAGACACTGGCTTCTGACTTTTATGCTGAGGTGCCAATTTATGAACTGTAATTGTAATCTGTTATGGTAATGTCTGTGATGATTGTATCTCCGAAGACAGTGATATAGTTTTCCCCGTATCATTTCAGCTTGTGGGTATTTGGTGCCTGAATGAGTGGATGCACGTTGACTTGACGAAGACACTGCAGGTCGTGGAGCTGGGACCTGGCCGTGGAACTCTAGCTGATGACATGCTCAGGGTCAGTGTGGGACTTGGTTGCAATGAGGGGCAGTTAGATATTTGACTTAAACACCAAGATCTGGGTTAGAATTGGTCTTCAACAACCCATGCTTGTTACAAGAGGTGAATACACATACACACGCATGCACATCGTCATATGAGCGAAATATTCTCAAGCACGATGTTAAACCCAATTTCACCTCACCTTACAAGAGGTGATTAACAGGATTGGGTGGTCAGACTCAATGACAAGGTTGAAGTATGTGATTATATACTATTTACATTGATCAATGCTCACGGTGTTAGTCACTGGTTTCCCAGATCCTGACTTGATTATATACCACAGTATCTGGTATCATAGAGTCTGCCTCAAAATTAAACTGTTATCATGTCATGCACATAATTATACAACCATTTTTAAGGTGATACATGGTTCCATGTATCATGATACATTCATTACCATGGTAACTTGTATCACAATACAATAATTGTTGGTAACATGTAAAATAGTACATTCAGCACCATATATCATGATACAATCATCACCATGGCAACATTCTTTATTAATACTAATGGGGACATTTTAACACTTCTCAACATTTGACTAAGTTTCCTTAGTCTTGACATTAGCTTTTAGTACCCACTTAGGTCTAATTTATGACGTTCATGTAAATATCAATAATATTTTATCAAAATGTGCAGATCACTTGAGTATGCCAAGGGCCCATTTACACAGGAATGATATTATCTGATGCATGTTTTGAGAATGTAATATTTCTCTAATAGCAGAAACTTGGAACCACACTAAATGAAACTAATAGCGTTCGTAATGAAGTATTTATTTGAGTTCTTATCAGTTACAATATGTATTAATATGGTAGTATATATCAAACTTAGAAGCACAATAGTCTTGGTAAAATATTCATGAGGTTTGAAAATGAGGAAGCCCCAAAACATGCCTCCTGACCAACTCCAGAACGCAGAGTCTGATTCCTTTGGTGTATTGGCAAGATTTCCCCCTGGATTCACACTTTTGGCATATTGCCAGCATATTTATAGACATGTTTGGTTGGGGTACGGTACAGTACACTGTATGGTACACAGAGTACACATCTGTAGTACTTAACAGTAAAATCATTTTCAAAATATTTTCATATAAATCTTAGTCTTACAGTATGTGTTCAGCAGTAATAAAGAAACAGCATTCTTACTTTAATGTTTGGTTTTAATAATTGAGTTGTCATGGTAATCATATCATTCTGAAATCTGAAGACATGAAATTTTCAAAAGAATGAAGAAATTGTCATCGATAAAGAGTGGTCACAGATGAACCTGTTGTCTAAAGCAAATTATTGGAGTGTTTCCTTCCACATTAAGCTGACAGTCAGTGCTGGTCAAAGTGGTGTTAAACACAACTCACTCCATAAAAATTTCATGTTGAATATTTTCTTCAAATTTCAAATTCGTGAAGATCCGGGTTAGAATTGATCTTGAGTAACCCATGCTTGTCGTAAGAAGCTAACGGGATCAGGTGATCAGGCTCGCTGACGTGGTTGACACATGTCAGTGTATCCCAATTGCTTAGATTGATGTTCATGCTGTTGATCACTGGATTGTCTGGTCCAGACTTGATTATTTACAGACCGCCGACATATAACTGGAATATTGCTGAGTGCTGCGTTAAACAACAAACAAACATTATAAAAGGAAATTTTATGAATTCAAAGGTCAATGATGAGGATATATTTCCTGAAATGATGTTTCAGTTTTGTTAGATGTGTGTCAAGCTAAGAAAATCCTCATCAGCCCAGAAAAAAATATAAACTATCAGGAAACAGATTTTACTGAGTGTGGTGTAAAACTAAACTAAACTAAACTAAACTAACCTCACTCACTCACTCACTCACTCACTCACTCACTCACTCACTCACTCACTCACTCACTCACTCACTCACTCACTCACTCACTCACTCACTCACTCACTCACTCACTCACTCACTCACTCACTCACTCACTCACTCACTCAGATTTCTTTAAAATGTAGCCATTGGCATACATTTAAACATATAATTATTTCAGGCAATATCCAGGTTTTCTGATGTAAGAGATAGTGTGTCTTTACACTTGGTGGAAGTGAGTCCAGCACTCAGTGACATCCAAGAATCCAAGTTGTCAGGGAAGAAGTTAGAGCAGATCCAAGCTGAAGCAGCCACCAGATCCTCAGATACAGTCTCGGAGGGTGGCCATTACAAACAGTGCCTCTCCAAATATGGTCAGCCTGTTTACTGGTACCAGAGTCTGCAGGATGTACCTCATGGACTCTCCTGCTTCATCGCTCATGAGTTTCTAGATGCACTTCCCATCCACAAGTTTCAGGTATGAGGAGAGTTTATGTTGTCCTTCCATGTCAGCACTTTATGATCCCTTCAAGAGTCTGGATTTGAGATGGTCTTTTAGTAACCCATGCTTATCATAAGAGACTGTAACTGTCATAAGAAGTAACTAACAGGATTGAGTAACTGACTTGAATAATGCACATCGCCAAGCCCAAGTTGTGTAGATTGTTGCTCATGCTGTCAATCACTGGATTGTCTTGATTATTTAGACTGCTGTAAATATTGGGAGGTTTCCCAGACAAAGCTGATGCAATGTAGTGGCAAATGTGTGCAGGTGTTTAGCTCAAGATTCACACACTGTCTGGGAATCTCTTAATAAACAAACAACCCGTGAAGGTCCGGGTTAGAATGAACCTTCAGTAACCCATGCTTGTCGTAAGAGGCAACTAATGGGATCGGGTGGTCAGGCTCGCTGGCTTGGTTGACACATGTCATCGGTTCCCAATTGCGCAGATCGATGCTCATGCTGTTGATCACTGGATTGTGTGGTCCAGACTCAATTATTTACAGACCGCCGCCATATAGCTGGAATATTGCTGAGAGTGGCGTAATACTAAACTCACTCACTCACTTAATAAACAAACCTTTTCTTAAAAGATATCTATTTACACAGGATCTTGTATTTACTATCATTTTATATTTTTTATTGAATATCAACCATTTAGTTAATTATATAAAAACCTGTTTATAAAATTGTTCCATATTTTAATACATTAAATTTGTGGAGACATTTTTGTGTGAGTTAAAAAAATCCTCAGTCCATTCACACGTAATCATGGACACAACTGACACTGGGTAGTCATTAATATATACCGCTACACAAAGGCAGTACTTCCTCTACTGATGCCATGTAATGTTTTGTTTACTTCAGAAGACAGATAGAGGTTGGTGTGAGGTGCTGATCAGCTATGATGATGACAGCAGCAGCTTTAAGTTAGTGCTGTCTCCCGGAGCGACGGTAGCATCCACTGCCTTTCTACAGGTAGTCCAGCTGTAGGGGGCCTGGGACTGTACTGTACAGTAATCTCTCAAGTACAATCTTGAATGTTTCAACTATGAATTGGATTTTCAGAACTGTGTATGTGTAAGTTAGACATCTAAGACTGATTATAATCTGAGATGACAATTGCTTGACATAGAGTAGTCTATTATTAATGTTTTCTAAATTTCATGCATCATCAAAACTTTGCAGGTCCATGGCAGAACAAGGTGTATACAAAACTTATGTTTTGAAAATGAGTTTCATAAGGTGTAAAGTGTAGCATCTCACCTTTTTTGTCTTATGTATCCGTTCTGTGACAGGTATCCCCTAGCGAGACTCGAGACCACATAGAGGTATGTCCCGATGCTGGTTTGATTGTTCAGGAGCTGTGTAAAAGAATCCTGTCACATCAAGGATTTGCCCTCCTGGCCGACTACGGACATAGTGCAGAGAAGACCGACACATTTAGAGTAAGTCATCTGGATCTGTGTACTATCGTCATTGGTTTTCATGTCTCTTCATATTGCTTTGTACATTATTATTTCACATGCTGTCAGTCACTTCCTTGTCGGCAGAATCAGTGATTTCACATAATCTATGTAGACATTATTATTCATTGTTTTTGCTGTTCTTTCAACAGGCTTTCAAGAATCACCAACTTCATGATGTACTGGTTGACCCAGGAACAGCTGATTTAACAGCTGATGTAGATTTCACATATTTAAGAAACATGACAGAGGCCACAGGTGGGTTGATTACATGCAAATGTAATGGATTTCAGTAAGTATGAATGGTCTCAAACATATTTTCAAAGTGGAATTAGATTTGTTGATTGTCATGCAATGTAGTTAGCCTAGTCTTGAGATAGCTGTACAAATGTTAGCGCAGGTCTGTGTTTATCCACCTGTAAAGCTAAATACACAACCAGCAAGCTAGTTTTCTTTTGTTTAATTTAAAAACATCAACATGTTTATATTTTTAAAGTACATCGCCAATAACAGATGTGTATATCATGTTTGTTTCAGTAAGCAAGATGATTGATTGTAGATTTAAGTTGTTTTTGTCAAGTTTCATTTTCATGTTTCCTACCATGTTGTGTCAGATTGTAACTTTGAAAAGCCTAATGACAAAAAGCAGTTCCGTCAGTTGTTCCAATGTGTCATGTGTTCAGATATTTGATGGTAAATATTTCAGTTTCAACATATGGACCTTTGACACAACAAGAATTTCTACACAATATGGGAATTGGTGTTCGCCTACAGGTGTGTTCAAAATAGCAAATATGTTCAGCTACATGTTCAAAATAGTTCAGCTACATTATTTTATTAATCATTTGTTCTTAAGTCCCCCTTCTACTTTATCCATCTCATTATCAATGTATTCAGTTATCACATGTGCAAGCAGCAGCTTCAAAGAAGAAATAGTTTTACAAATTTTCAGTCTACAAAAAGCTGTCAGTGAATTGTTTCTTGAACATCACCCTTATTATTGCTGTTGATGGACAAAAATATTTTACGAAAGAAGTCAGATTGTTGAGACATTCATGCTCATCAATTTTCCACTGAGTTGCTAAATTACTAGACAGTAGGGTGAACAAAGATAAAGGATAATTAACACTGCATATAAATTGCAACATAATGATGACATATATTTCCTGCCATTGGACAAGGATTTTATACATGTAAGTCCACGAAACCAAGAAACTAAAATAGTCTGTCCTGGCTGTAAAAACCGATAGGACCTGGTTAATGGTTAAAATGTTTTCCCACTGCAGGTTCTACTTCAGAAAGCTGACCAAGAAGCTTGGAAGGACCTGATTTCAGGTTACGATATGCTGACAAACCCAAAGAAAATGGGAGAAAGATTTAAGTTCTTAGCTTTAATGAATCCTCGACAAAAAGACTACATACCAGCAGGCTTTGTAACACCTGAAGCCTTGAAGCAATCACAATAAATTATTTATTACCTCTGTTTCTGGTTGATTGCCTTGAACATTATTCTCATGGCATTACCATGGAATGTCAAAGGTGAAATAGTCTTGTTTTGAGTGAGTGCTTTTCTTCACTCAGTAGTCTGTAATATTACAACTGTATCATAACAGCCTGTGAATAATTGGGTCAGACAGACAAGTGGTTGATAGCAAGAGCAATGATCTGTGCAGTTGTAGGACGAGGACCAGTCAGTCACTCTAACCACCTGACGAACTAGTGGTTGATAGTAAAAGCAAAAATCTTCAAAATAAGGCCAAAACATCCAGGTCACTGGAACTACCATATCCACATTGGTATGAATGTCTACAGGGAACATACATGTCCAGGGAAATCTAAATGATCTTGATCTTGGTTTGATCATACTCTGTGACAGACTGTTCATGGACAAAGATGGTTTGTTCACGTTGGGCAGGTGTCACCTGATTGCCAAGTGATTTCCAGCAATGCCAATCTGAAACAGGCTTTCATGAACATTTGGGAGTAACTGCATCACTGACGGTAAGTATAGTAAGGGAGGTAATCCTGTTAATACTTTAATAATGTAAACAAAGATTATTTGTTTCTAAAATAATTTATTATAAATATTGTATATGAAATGAACATGAACAATGACAAACTTGAAGAATGAGAAATATATGCCAATGAACAATCATTTAAGTTCAAGCTATTGATGCAATTTTCTGTTAATGAAAACCTGAACTTGCTCTTTGATTCTTTATGAATATTTTGAACAGGCTTCACTGTAATAAACGAATATGATATTTGATTAATGAAAAATATATATCATGAACCAAACATACAATATATATTTACAAATACAGTATGTACGTGTGTATAAGATATATGCTAGTCAACTCTTGCAAAGGATAAACACAGTATGAAAGAATAAGACCTATTTCAGTACAAGATTTAGTTCAAACTGATTAAAATTGTCATGTATGTTTCCAGATTATATTAATAAAATAAAACAATAAGTCAATTATCCAGTAAATTGATGTTGATAATATCTGCATTCTGATAAATACATTGGATCTGTTTGCTACCACAATTACTATCATCATATAGTAACTTTTGTTTAACATTATTTATTTTACTTGACATTCCTTGCAAAATCTGAACAGGACAATATTTTTCCTATGAACTATTTGCAAACATATATTTACAAAACTTTGAACTATACAAGTAAAATTTACATGGACGGAGAGTGTGTGACTTGAAATTATCTCAACATTCAATTCCAAACTTATCAAAGTTTCTCAGAATGATCCCAAGTCGTAAATGAACCTTTCCCATGGCAACAGTGTGCAACTTGTATCTCTGTGCCCCACTGTAGACAAGATCTGGATTCTTCAACTGTGGTCCTCCACCCAGGAAGCACTGTGACACACCCTCTAGGAATGACCCTGAGGGTCGCCATGTGGGACAGTCTATTTCATGGTTGCCAGGGGAGGTTGGTATGTGACAGAAACCATAGCCATACAGCTCGTTCCTGCCAAAGCTATCCTGGTGCCATACCTGGAAGTGAACTTTAGGCCAACCTGTAAAAATAAAAAAAAGTTATAGTTGTTACCTGTGGTCTATAAAAATACTGTACTAAACAGCTCTTGAATGAAACATATTTGTGTGTTTGTTTAAAACTATACTGGGCAATATTCAAGCTATTTTATGGCGGATTGTAAATAGCTGCCTGGACCAGACAATCCAGTGACTGAAACCATGAGCATCTATCTACACAATTTGGATATGAAGTCATGCATCAACCAAGTCTGACTACCCAGGCAGCTCTTACTTGGCTGCAATAAACCAATTGTAACCCAGATCTTGACATGGAAATAGACAGGTAAAATTAAGTACATACCAGTACCACAGTTGTTTCAGAAAGATTTACTATGATTCAAGGATACACACTTCAACAGATTACAAGAATCAATATATGCACATAAACACAATATATTCAAGTTTGTAATAAATGAATCTACTGCTGTTAGTGCAATGAACAATAGACTTGCTGGTTAGCAAATGACTCCCAATTTGAGTTGTGTCTCATTAACGATACAGAGTATATTTTCAGAAATGGTTGGGAGCTTACAATTTTTTAACATTTTTGCTGTTTCTCTTTTATATGATTATGAGGAAATCATATCTTGTCATGCTCATACACATAATTTTATTCAGACACTAATAAAAGACAAAGTCTTGACCTTTACCATGTTTGCACACATGTAAAAATATTTTCTCTATTCCATTGTCATGATTATCTGTGCAGTTATATTGCATATTTCGTGTATTTGATCATTTCCTTTGCAACACAATAACCATATGTAAAATGATCTCAAAATCACAAAATATTAAGATGTAAGACCTTGAATGCCTTTTGTTGCAAAATGAATATCAATTGGGTGGCTCCAGTAAGCTGTCTCGTGATTCTGGGGGTTGTCCACTTGAGTCTGTCCTTCACGAAGACCAGCCAACACTTTCCATGCACCACCTGTTCAAAGAACAAATAGTAAGTACTTCAACTCAAAGTTGGACCCAGTGCACACTCTTATAACTACTCGTAAATACTGAAACCATCCTTATTAGTAAACGTGTGTGTGTGTGTGTGTGAGAGAGAGAGCGAGGAGGGGATGGGGTGAGGGTAGAGTGTGTGTCATGTGCACAATTTCACAACAACTGAATGTAAAGGCAGAGGCAACTGTATCAAAATAGGCTTCATTTACCTGTATGAATACCCCATTTACAAAACAGACTATTGTCAGGAAATCCACTTGCACCGACAATCTGTCCAACCACATGAACTTCTGCCATCTGGAAGTAAAAAAATATCAGTTTCAGTTTGCTTTAACATGTTTAAATTCATTCGGACTACTAAAAAACAGATTCAAATAAAATAAAATAAATCGTCTCTCAAATGACGCTCTCTTCAGGTGAACATAATATCTGAAGTGATGGATTACCATCCATCAGCTATCCCAAACAAGCTAAATTCGAAATTCTGGTGATTTCGACGATTGCATTGCTTGCGCTATATTGGGTGAGTATATGCTCGCTCGGAGAGCAAAAGCAGTTTCATTGGCAGAGAGGATGCCCAATCACTGTCGTGAAAAGTGTTATCGACCAGTTCATGAAATATGCCAAAAATCGAGCCAGACATCAGGGCTGGTAACTTCAAAAATGTTACCAGCCCAAATGGATTTAACCAGACCAAATATGGTGAATTTACTCAGATGTATGGAACATCTAACAAATTTACCAGACCATCGGGCTGGCTAGCTGTAGTAGACCGTCCGTCAGAAATCGAGACTGTCTCGGGCAGACGGCCGGGCCTTATTTCATACACTGTATTGACAACTGAAATCCGGAAGTTATATATAAACCAAACAAACATAAACAGTATTTACCCGAAATTGTTAATACCACTTCAGATGCAAAATCAAAGGCCTTTATAAAAAAAAAAAAAATAGCAAGCGAAAATTCAGTAAGATCAGTCGTCTGCTAGTCACAGGCAATATATAAATAGGAAGCCATGTGATTACAACACTCCCTCGCAGTGCTGAGCAAAAAGTATGGCTCATCGTAGAAAAGCCATACAAAATCCCTGCATGTGGCGAGCGGCAACAGTTTCGCCCATACGATGTCATCGACGCTATTTTTTTATAGGAAACACTTGATATTTTTGTGTGAAATAGATGAATATATCCTTTATCACTCAAGGTTAGTAACATAATAATATAACATAAAATTACGTTTTTGTCTTACTTCGTTGAAAATCCCTGACAGAGGAATATAAGAAATGTCAGGGATATCTGTGAGTGAGTTTAGTTTTACGCCGCACTCAGCAATATCCCAGCTATATGACGGCGGTCTGTAAATAATAGAATGTGGACCAGACAATCCAGTGATCAATAGCATGACCAATGATCTGCGCAATTGGGAACCGATGACATGTGTCAACCAAGTCAGCGAGCCTGACCACCTGATCCCATTAGTCGCCTCTTACAACAAGCATAGTTGCCTTTTGTGGCAAGCATGGGTTGCTGAAGGCCTATTCTACCCCGGATCTTCACGAGTCCAGGGATATCTGTAATGGTAGATTACCTGTGTACCAATGTACTTCAAAAACATACATTACTACCTTAAGATGAATTAAATGTGCAGATCATGTAGCTGGAGAAAAGTTATTTGGTGACAGCTGAAGGGAGACTAAGACTACAACTTGACTGTATAGGACAGCATCGCGGCTCTCGGCTAAGTTCAAGCAACACCAATGTCTGGACTGGCTAACTAAAAATGAGCATTTCTTTTTAGATTTAAAAGACATTATTGTCCATGTAAACTCCCAGAAATACATTACACAAAGAAGATGAGTTACGATATCAAAACTTAAGGCTCTCGTGTGATAAAGAGAGCATATGACAGCCACGTCTAAAAATGAAAACGAGAATGCAAGCCTGGACATGGTTACCGATCATTAAGTAAAGTCTAGAAGCATGTAATAAACATACGTACTTTTGGTGAGATTCTCTGGCTAAAATCTGAGTTTCCCAACGTAACTCCACACACACTTTCAAATGAACTGCTGTGAAAACGATATAAACAATTGTCTTGTTAACAGGTGCTTGGAAATAACATTGTTTATGCCGCCATTTTCCTTGGGAATGTAACCGGAAGTTAATAAGTTCTTACAAACTATGCAGTCAATACAGTTTGAGCCGGAGACTATAACTCTATGACACTATAAATAATCATGAAAATAATTATGACAATGTATACCTTTTTGAAATTATCATTTATGGCTGAAGTGTTTTTTCGCGTTTAATACGAAACTATGACTGTGTCATATGGGAAGATGGCGGATTTTCTAAGTGACGAAGACATTGCAAGGAAGCTTCAAGCAAAAGTAGTCATTTTCACCGTTTTCCATGAAATTGACTGTAACAGAACGTGTTTGAGAAGGAATATATACCAGTTGGTTTTCACAGTATTGAATGACATACTGTACATTCGCTTTTTCATTCATATGTAGGAGCACTTGTAGTTAAAACAACTTTGTCACTATTATTTTTGTTTTGCTGAGACGATCGTTTTTTTATTTCGCCTTTCCATACGTTGTACAATGAAACAGAAGGGAAGTGAAGAACAATTGGAGGCAAGACTTCCGCCCGTATCCCCCCTAAATTTTAGCCACGAGGAAAGGTTTCTTTGAGTGGCATTTTTAAAAGTTGGATATGTCTTTCAGTATGTTAAGATACAATTAAAGAAACATGCTAAAACTCATCCTTACCAGATGACGAATATATATATTCAGCTGATATGATTCGACTAGAATGAAATTTAAGGGGGGATACGGGCGGAAGTCTTTCCCAATTGGAAATGGTGTACATGTTATTTAGAAGGAAAAAAATCCGTCTCGTGAGGATGGTGGGGCCAGAACGCGGGCTCTGGAGGACCACAAAATATGTTCACAAAAGACAGAAGGGACATGAAGGGAAATACTTCCGCATGTATGCCCCTTAAGTCAAATAATATTACTGGCTAGCGACCAGTTATCGTCACGTACCAGTTATGGCCAACACCTGGCTGTAGCGCTTGCGCAGACAGCTTGATTTTAACTCTCGTAGTCTATCGCTTGTGTGATGTGTCAATACTAAAGACTCAATGTGTGAAATATGATGGAAGTGCAAGTCAAGCTGTCTGTGTAAGCGCTACAGCCAGGTGTTGGCGAAAACTGGTACAAGGCGATAACTGGTCGCTAGCCAGTACCTGAATATGTAAATATATTTTTCGTCATCGTTAAAATTTATGGTGGGTACAGGCGGAAGTCTTACTATGCTTATGGTGTCAATATTTATTATATGCATTTGACCCATGAAGGTCCGGGTTAGAGTATTGATCTTCAGTAACCCATGCTTGTCGTAAGAGGCAACTAACAGGATCAGGTGGTCAGGCTCGCTGACTTGGTTGACACATGTCATCGGTTCCCAATTGCACAGATCGATGCTCATGCTATTGATCACTGGATTGACTGGTCCAGACTAGATTATTTAAAGACCGCCACCATATAACTGGAATATTGCTGAGTGCGGCGTAAAACTAAACTCACTGTCTATTATATGCATTTACAGAACCTTCCTTATCCAGAAGGATTTTATTGTTAGAAGAAAGAGGTTATTAGACTTGGTTTATTCAACAGTTAAATTTTTTTGTTATCATTATATACTGGCTAACTGTATCTACAACATGTACAAGGGATAGTAACCTTCTACCATTTGTTATTCATGTCCATGCATATAGTTATAACATGTTAATCTTTGTTTCAGTTTGATAAAGAGGAATCGCTGAGAATAGATTCAGAAGAAAGAGATAGGACTCTTGCCATGGCCTATGCAAAGATTCACAGTATATCAGATTCTGATTCTGATGCCACAATAGATCCAGATGATTTGGTGAGAGACAATTCACCAGACCTGTTTGCTGACGAAGAAAATTGTTCCAAAAAAGACAAGCCATCATGCAGGAGCTGCACAGACGAGCAGATATTCAGACATGTCAGGCAGCAGGTCTGTCACATCACTTCAGAAAAGAGTGAGCAAGACTCATGAAATATCAGACAGTGATTCTGATGAAGATGTAAGAAAGAAAATACAAGTAAACAGAGATAAAACTTCAAGAACATTAGCACCCTCTCCCACACTGAAAAAGAGAAAAATTGAACATGATCAGTCTTCCGCTCACAAAAAGAGAAAAAGTCTCTGTGATTCTGAAAGCATGGAAAGTGAAAAGAATTACAGTATATTTTCCAAATATAAGAGTTCACCCTCAAAGAACATGAAGACAGAAAAATCACAGTCACTCACATCTAAGCTGGACAGTCCGAAGACATCAGGTCTATCCCCCAGTATTAAGAAAGTGCCAAGTGTAACTCATGCTTTGTCGGAGAGTGACTCTGATACTGAAATGAATGGAGTGATGAGTGCGTCAAAAGCAAAATCCGTCCTGAGTTGTTCTTCTAGCCCATCATTTAAAAGATCTAGTTCACTTACATCAGACAAAGATTTGTTGTCACTTGATGAGAAGCCTTTGTGTAAATATGGGAAGGAGTGTTTCAGAAAGAATCCATCTCATGTGGCTGAATTCCGCCATTCAGGTAAGCAAATGTTTCTCCATGATGGTTGGTCATGTCTCCAATCACTGGTTTGCTTGATAGTGATGTACTGATGTCATTTAATATTTCACATCATCCAGGTGAAAATAGAACAATGTGACCCCCAACCTCATGTTCTTCATTTTTCTAACTAAAACTTATATCAGCGTTTTTTGTATTATCTTTTTATCTATAGGCCTATACTTAAAGGTCACATGCAACCATAAAATCAAACATAATTAAAACACAATTATCACTTATTCATGACATATAATATACATTGCTGATTATGAAAAAACATATAAACAAAATTATAAGGGTACAATCGCAAATCAAAAGTGCAATCTTTTGTACTTGGGTTTACTTCCCTCCCAGTCAGAGTGGGTGGGTGTGCACTCAAGTGTAACGGATGGTTCATTTGCCGATGCCCTCACAGCTCATTGTGAGTGTGTGTATATAGAGATGTTGGGTTTTGTAAATACATGCTCATTTTTTGTGTATAACACTTTGCAATCAACAGACATCATAACATGTCATGTGTACAAGTATCACACCTGCCTGTCTGTTTAATTGCATAATGTGACAGAGACCGAACTCGGGCCATAAATCCATGCGTTTTGTTTATTGTGTATAGCCTGATAGGTGTTAAGTTCAAATTGCATGTGGTCAGTGATCGAAGTTGTGTATTGAATATTGTCATTAGCAGACAGGCAGGCAGACACATAGGTGTCAATAAAACAGACATTGAGTTTTGTCTGTGACAACGACATATTTATATCACAGTTAGAAATTCTGTCAACGCTAAATAATGCTTTTAAGTATCGAACTGAGAAAGTGACTCGGAAAGAAGAACGTGTGGTGAAAGAGATAAATGAAATTATATAAACAGTTAAATCGGTAATCTACTGTCATAACATATAAAAAGCTCGCACCTGTGAAATATCAACAAAACATTAGAAACAGCTCACATCAAAGCCTTCACCGAGTATTCACTGCCAGCGTAGGTTTTCCGTCTTGAAATGTCGAATGCCTCACTGGTTGACACATAGCTGAGTAGATGTAGATCCTTACAAGGTTCTTTTATGTAATGAGTAGATTATTTACTATTTATTTGTGTACACAACCAGGATTAGACTACTCCTGCTCACGACCTTATAATCCAGGCATGCATCCTGTTTCAAGCTCCGCGAACCTATTCAGTGGTCATGCGTTAGGAGCGCAGCGCAGCCCAGCTGTTGAAACTACTTTTTCCCCCAAGCACTGGGGGAAAATTAGTGAATCGTTTGAACTCCGATTTCGTGCGTTTTTATCATCGTGTTATTTTTCATCTTTATAAGTTGAATTTGCATTTTTGATTATTTGTTTTGGTAAGTCCATACTGAAAGGTATCAGAATCTGCAAAGTTGTGTTTTACGTTGCATGTGACCTTTAATAATTATTGTTGTTCATTCTATTATTTCAGTTGTAATGTACTTTCACCAATGTCTTCTCAATTATTTTATTTTTATAGATGTGGATACCAGCAATGATAAAACAACCCATATCTCAAAGAAACTTTCTGGTGTGAACACTAAGAAGAGTGGCCTTGACATCTTTAAAGAAAACCAACCGCTGAGTTTCTACATGACCAAGGTTACAGGCATTGATGCTGTTTACAATGAATATGGATCTATCAATATAAAAGGTAATTTAAAGTTATTGGAAATTGCAGAAAGTGAAAAGTATTGCTCAAAAACACATGGCAGCTGAATTTTCATTTCTAAATTTATGTTTAAAAATAGAAATGTATGTGAGTGTTTGCCCAAGGCATAAAAATTTAGGAGTCATCATGACTCCCTGGTGTCATGAGAGGGAGTCATGGACATGTTTTTGTGAGTCATCTTCAGTTTGGAACTTTCAAGACATTAACTGTGATTGTTTAATAACAACAAAAAGAAGGTAAGGCAGGTCAGGTATGTAATCAGCACTGAGCAGTTAACTGGCAAACATTAAACTAAGTAGTTTTAAACAACAGCAAATTACAATATGATTATCTGAACTGAGGGCCCAGTAGCATTGCGTCAACAAAGACGCAAGCTCCTAAATTCACTGCGTATTTGAGGTAATTTGTGCGTCAAATACACAGATTTTCTGCATCATGGCAAACACTGATATGTTATGTTTTCACATGGCATATTATATTTGAATTCATTGCATGAATGTTAATTGAATGCATGACACGTTTTCACTTATCAGTGCTTTGTTAATCTTTAATCATGTTTCAGCAATTGTGTGAACCACATGCTATTGGTTTCATCAGTATTATCATGATAATTGTCTGCATCCGTCCGTGTGTGCGTCCGTGCACATTTGTCTTTTCCAGAGCATAACTCTAAAACCGTTCAGTATTTCTTCACCAAACTTGGCTCATAGATAGATCTGGTGGTCTACTGGTGCCTTTTGGTAGTTTTGGATTTCTGAATAACATTTGTAAAAATTTGTGTTTCCATGGCAACAATTTTGACTTCAACTGATAGTGCTCCTTTCTGGAGCAGAACTTTGAAACCTTTCAGTACTCTCCTTCCACTTAGCTATATACACGCCAACACATTTGACATAGTCATAACTCGTAGACATATTCATTAAAAGTATTTTGCCATTGAGGGGGATATTGATGACTTTGTCTTCTTGTTTCATATTGTCTATCTGCTGGTGGCCTAGTAGTTGATGTAACTCACCACTTTAGTACCTAGTGTGTACCTTCAGTATGAGTCGTCTGTTCCACTGTGGGTTCGACATGTTGAGAAGAGTTGCCCTTTTGTGGAATATATTGTAAGGAATGTGTATTATTTTCACAGATATCTTGTCACCAAGCATGGGAAATTTAGAAGCCTCTTGTCAGGTGAGGATTAGTTTTGTGATACACAACACACAACTCAAATAATCCAATATCAACATGATTCTTTTCTGTGGTAGCTTTTTTTACACACTAAACAAATATTAGTCACGATTGGCTGAAATATTGCCGATGTGACTTAAAATCTTAACTCACACACTGAAGAAAATAAATATTTAAATGAGAGTTGGGGTAGTATTATTGTTCAGATGTTGAATGATCATGCTTAAGACCCATGCAAAGGTAAGTCCTTCATGTAATTCGCATTCAAAACATAACCCAACCACACCAATTATTCAAATGGCAAAAACAAAATTGTTCATAATTCTAGGGACTTGAATTGGCCAACTAAGCACTGTAGTTTTAGTTTATGTTTCCATAAACTTACAGAAAGCTAAGCCATCCCCCCACTGACAGATGTCTGTTTTCTGATTGATTGATAGTACAGCATTAGAGGTGTGTGTTGCATTATTGAACTAAGGATCTGACTGATTTTGTGCTGTTATCATGGTTATACTCGGTTGTGTTTGTGTTCATGCTATAACGTTCTGTCTGTGAAGTTATTGTTGTTGATGTGTCTGGATTCTGCTAAATCGTTTTTCAGTTCAACTTTATGTTTGAAGTGGATTGGATTATAAGCCAGTACCCTGCTGAATTTAGGTGAGTGTTATTTAATTATTAAGTAGGGTTTGATTAGGTTAACCTACATCAGAAAACAGGATAACACATGTATTGAACTGTACTTTGTGTGTGCCATACATCTGGAATGTAGAAACAGCTTAATACTATTTTGATGATAGTAAACAAAAGTCAATTGTTGCATTTGGATTTATATTTTTATTTATATTTCATAACTAGGGAGATAAGTAAAACACAGGTATACAAAAGGACTTACTTTTACGTTTCATCTGTTTGAATGGTAAAATAGCAAAGAAAAGTACAAAACACCTTTCGACATATTGACATATTATTGTGGGCAATACTATGAAATGCTTGTCTGAGTAGAGATTGACTTGTATGTCCATGTCCAGGAAGAAGCCCTTGACCCTTGTGCATGGAGAACAGAGAGGAGGTCTGGCCACTCTGTTGGCAGAGACAGCTCCGTACCCCAACATCACCTGCTGCCAGGTGAGCCTCATCAATAGTGTCACAACACGCTATCCAGTACTCTGTATAAATATAGCACACATCTAATTATCACACATCACTGCCCCTCACTGAAAATCACATGTACAATGTATTAATCCCTGAACATTGTTACCCAACAAATAACACTGACACATAACAGTTGTAAGTAGTGAGGCACAAGATTTAGGTTCCATTTTTAGTAATATTTTCAAGTATTGACCTTTCTACTGCTTAGATAAATTCAAAACAATGCATTTTCTGGCCTTCTTGGCTGTAGTTGTAAGTTTGCTTTGACTTGTCTTTTGTACTTTATTACAATACTTAACATGCTCAAACCTGAAACCCCCCTTGAAGTACCCAAGAGAGGAAAGTGAAATTTCATACTGACATCATATATATATATATATATATATATATATATATATATGTGAAAATCGAAATCGCTACATTTCCAAGTGAGCCACAGTGCAATGGCACTGTTTCTTATTTTGTAACACTTGGCAATATTCATTTGAGGTTAAGTTCATAAAAAACACAAAATAGAAAAGTAACTGTTTCTTAAAACACCTTGTCCCATAGCATCTTTATTATTATTGTGTTTGTGTGTGCAGAAATTAAGAGACTTGTCCAGAAAACAAGAAACAAAATGCCGTGGACGAGGTACTTCTATTTAGTTCAGTGTGTTGTGTAAATTGTTTGACATGTTTGATTTAACTGTTGAATTTTTCTCTATCCCTTTCCAGGCCAAACTGGATATAATGTATGGCACACATCACACGTAAGACACTCTTCATTAATTCTTTCGTTTAACATTTGGTGTTTAGGATAGTGGTTAAAGCATGCAGCCAAACAGCTGATTCAGCAGAATCTGTACTCTTTGTGAAGCCCCTGAGTTCCCTGTCATGTGGCTGAAATATACCTAAGGGCATTGTTAAACAATATTTTTTCACCAGCTCATCTTACATTAAAAGACTTATATTTATGTTCTCCTTTACTTGCTGTCACTCCTTGGAATGCATGTAAATGACCTTGAGTTTGACTCACTTACAGTTGAAGAATTTTTATCAAGGTTTACTACAATTTGCATCATCTACTCAGAAACCTCTTTAGTGTTATGAAACTAAAGTTTTGTATATATATATGGTATACAGTCAGCTCTCGTTAATCCGACACTCATTAATCCGACAATCACGTTAATCCGACAAAAAATTAGGGAACCATTTAAAACAGTGATAATTACTCTCGTTAATCCGACATTCTCGCATTCCGACTCCGACACACCAATCTAGCAACCGATCATTGTAAATACATTGTAAAAACATTCGTTAATCCGACAATCAACACAGCCGGTCGGATGATCCGACCGTATACAAACATCACACATGAAAGGTGATTAGCGCGTGCCTTACTGGCTGCTTAACACCCACGTCAGTGAACATCACACTTGTTAATTAGGAACACAGGATAATTAATTGAGGCGATTTAATCAAGAAATAACAGTAGAGCGAGCTGTATAAAATGTTTACAACCGACATGAGTTTTCATCACAAGATGTCTGTCACGAGTACACCAGCTGCTAAGCGACCCCTTGTAGAAGTCACGCCATTGATCAAGACAGAAATCTCCTTTTGAAGAAAGACAAACCCCAGACAGCACAACAAGAAGTCATCACTTTTGCTGAGCAGAAGTTTGATGTGAAGATTGGACGATCAACCGTATCTGACATCCTGAAGCAGTCTGCTTAGTGGTTGAGCGTCTCTACGACTAATTCCAATGCTTCAAGCTATCTGAGGCCAAAACATCGTTGAACACTTTGCAAACATTTCTGACACACCCCTGATTGTACATTAGACGTCCACATGTTATTATGGAATTAGTTGTATGGAAACTGCAACATATTCAACATCCGGGTCATAATGGCAGCTGATATGCGGTAAAAACAAACGTGAGTTTTGTGCCAATGTGGTCATGAAATAGATATGAAACTGTTCGCTTATGTGATTATATATGTATGTTATGCCATCTATGAATGTTAATAAATGAAAACAAGTATGTATTGTTAGTATTTCTTATTTCTGTGAATATTTTTACATACGATGAAGATAACTAGATCTACCATTCCTGATATGCATGCAACAGTATGACGATCATGGCATTTAGTAAACATTGATATTTTCACACAAATACATTAATCCGACATTTTCATTAATCCGACATTTTCGTTAATCCGACATATTTCTCTGCAACCACAAGTGTCGGATTAACGAGAGTTGACTGTACATGGTTTCTCAAGAAATTATCAAACGATGTTCCAAACTACTTTTAAACATGGCTGCCAATTTCCGCCATATTGAAAATGACATTTGACCGATGTTTTTACCATGTGTGCTAGTACCATTGTGAAATATTCACGCCATTCTTTTGTTTCCAAACTTTTGTTACTCCTTTTTATACCCATTTATAACCTTTTTATTATAAACTTTCTGGTGAAATGTTGCCAGTATTCAAGTAATCCATGAGATTTTCTGGTTGCAGGAAGATGATGTTGCTCCTATATGACAAGGGGTTGCGGGTTGTCATCCACACGGCCAACCTCATAGAGCGGGACTGGTACCAGAAGAGTCAGGGGTGAGTGGTCATGGTTCCCCAAGCTTGAATCCAACAGACACATATATCATGAATCAAAACATTATTAGGGAGTTTTGAAGATGTCATCTGCATGTACATCATGTTTTGTTTTGTCTGTTTTATACAGACACGTTCAGTTCTTGAATTCAGTACATTGTTAAGTAAAGGTCTTCATATATAACAGATATCTAATGTTTCTAACCACCTTTCAGATGTGTCAAAGAGTGTCAGGGAATATGTACAGGCTGCCATTATGTGGCTAGATTATTATCCCCCGCCGCACGTTATATAGTATTAGGCTCCGTCCGTCCGTACGTACGAATTGGAATATCTTAAGAACCGTTCTCTAGATTTCTTTTCATATTTGGTACCTAGGTTCTTAAAAGTATAAGAAAGGTCCAAGTCAGGTTTGGTGACCTTGACCTTCATTTCAAGGTCACAAGGGGACTTTCACGTTTTACCTGCATGTTAAGCTATCTCAAGAACTGTTCACTGGATTTTCTTCATATTCAATACAAAGCTTTATCTAGGGAAGGCGCAGGGCCCAGTCGATTTTGGTGACCTTCACATAATTTTCAAGGTCATGGCGACACTGAAGATTTCAGCATGTAAACCTGCATGTTAAGCTATCTCAAGAACCGTTCACTGGATTGTCTTCATATTTGAAACCAAGCTTTATCTAGGGAAGGTGCAGGGCCCAGTCAATTTTGGTGACCTTCACTTAATTCTCAAGGTCACAGAGACACTTGAAGATTTCAGCATATTAACCTGCAGGTTATGCTTGTCAATTTTGAGATACCTCAAGAACCATTGACTGGAGTTTCTTCATATTTGACACCAAGCTTCATCCAGGGAAGGCGAGGGCCCAGTCGATTTTGGTGACCTTCAATTAATTTATGTGTCAACAATGATTTTGTTCTGTTTGATTGGCTGCTTGTACTAGCCCAGACTTAAGCTGGTTTTATAGTGCTAGCCCACTGAGATGGTTTTATAGTGCTAGCCCACTGAGATACCACGCCGCAGTGAAGCATGAATACCCCACTCAGACACAGTATACGGACTCCGAGCCGACCAGTCCTTGTTGTACCCATTAATGCCGAGCACCAGGCAGGAACCAACAAGTACCATATTTTAACGTCTTTTGGAATGACGCGGTCGGGGATCCAACCCGCGACTTTCCGCTCTCCGGGCGGACGCTCTAACCACTACACCACGGAGGCGGTTCTTGATGAATAAGAAGAAAAGTATGATACTTAATGGATGACAACTTCTTTATGATACAAAATTTCTAATACTGTTGTCAGGCAAGTGTGACAATCTAAACGTCGCATCATTTATAAGAAATTGTCATCCACAAAGTATCATATCATACCTTTCGTAACTATGATTTCGCAGTTTCTTTTAGTATTTCCTGGTTGTTGTTTTTTCAGAGTCTGGGTGAGCCCTGTGTTTCCTAAAATGCCAGCTGACCAGGTTACAGCTGATGACAAGGTTCATGGTGACTCAGCCACTCACTTTAAGCAGGATTTGCTGCAATACATTGCTGCATACCGAGCCCACAAACTGACAGTGTGGGAGAAGCACATCAAAGCTCATGACATGTCAGCAGCAAAGTTAGTACACATCCCACATACAGCCTTATGTAGGAGTACCCTCTATTTTATCCCCCCATAGAGATTCCCAGTACCCCATGCTTGCTCAAAATGGATCGAGGTCTTCTAGTTAGGTCTTCTTGTTTGCCGGGTTCACACGTGAATAATTCTGAATGGGGTAGGGCTGTGACAGGTCCAAATTTTCTACCCAGATACCCGTTATGTTAATTCCAAATTACAAATTTGTAAGGAAGGTCAAAAGATTTTTCAGCTTGGAGACTAAAAGTTCGAGTTTTTCAATATCGTAACCATGTATTATATATTTTAAAGAAGTGGCTGTAATTATGTCTAAATCTTCAAAGACAATACAACTTTTTTTATCATGAAAGAATAACATACAGTGGAAACCTGATAAGTAAAATTTCAAGGGACTCGCCAAAATTGTTTACTTATCAGGTATTTTACTTATACAAATCTGCAAATGACAACCATATGCATGTATATGTAACAACGAACAGTGTCAACTGCTTGACACCAGCGAGCTGTAAGTAGGATGTTTGTTTGACTGGATACCGACACGACTGCCCCTCGCGTCGGATTATGTGGCGATCGCTAATTTAGTTATCCAGTCTCTTTTGTAATTTACTTCCAGGGACCGGGAGAAGACGTTTACTTAAGCGGTATTGTTTACTTATCTGAGTTTAGTTAACCAGACTCTAATAATGATAATTAATGAAGAAAGTTGCCGGGACCAAAGAAAAGTGTTTACTTATCAGGTCTGTTTAGTTAAGCGGTCTTTACTTAGGCGGTTTCCACTGTATTACATTGTTTAATCTATTAGTCACATGATCATAACGGGTCCGGGTATTGAGACGGTTACCCGGGTCCAGCTCATGACAAAACCCGTCCTGGGTATCCAGGTTACCCGTCCCAGCCCTCGCCTGGGGTGTAAAAAATATTCATTCACTTCACTTTTTATTTGTTAGAATTCTCAATATTGGTAAATCTACTAACTTAATCATGTTGGTCAGTAGCAAAAAGAGAGAGAGAATATTTCTTACTGATAAAGTGATTTTAGAGATTCTTTTTGTTGGAGTGTTCTGTCAATTCATGTTCAACAGGGTTCATATAATTGGGTCCGTGCCAGGACGCCATACTGGAGATCAGAAGAGTTGCTGGGGCCACATGAAACTCAGAAGGGTAAAAATCATTCCTACCTCACTACCAAAGACCAAACTTAATATCATTTGTTCCAAGCATCTACAAAGTAAAAAAAGTCACTTCATGTGGTGCCTTGTTTCTTTGCCTTAATGCCTTTATCATGTGTTTCTTAATATATTTAAAAATTAAAATGCCCACTCGCCACATCTATTTTAAAAATTGGATAAGAAATCTAATACCCAATTCATTGTGACCTATGACAGGATAATGATTAATATCCAGGTATAATTTGAACAAAAGGCATAGTGACACCTCATCAAGACTGTAAGGGTAATGATTTGTTTTCTGGGTGCAGGTTCTTCAGAAACAAGGTCCTGATGCTAGTCGTGTGAAGTCTTGGCCAGTGATTGGTCAGTTCTCCAGTATTGGTTCCCTGGGTCCAACAGCAGAGTCCTGGGTGTGTAACGAGTGGCTGCAGTCGCTGTCTACAACACGAGGGATGTCTGTCACATCTAAAGCCAATATGACACTGGTAGGAATGTCATCACATCATTTGTGTTAAACTGGTTTTACAAACAACAGTGCGAGACACCTGTGTCTGATCTAATAATCTTCCTTATCCTCACTCAGATTAACAATGAATCAGAAAAAGTGTTTCCCATGTTTATAATAACCAGTGTCAAGGAGCTAAAACAGAAAATCGCTTTTAGGATCTTTCTTCCAATTCGTTGGTTTCACATTAATTTTCGACTCGCTCTGCGCATGCGTAGAGCGTGTAAAAATATCCTCCGGACATATCCGGTTTGGTCGCATTAGCGATATTGTAAACACGCTCTAAATAAATGCTGTATAAAAATTATTTACGCGTGACAACTGTTCATAGTTGAGTACATACATTAATTTGCCTATGCTTTTCAATATTTGATGTCCTATTTTGGTGGCATTGCATCAGAGATGTGTTTTTTTACTTGTGAGAAGGGGTAGCCGGCGGCTCTCGGCTAGAGAAGGGGATGTGCAGGAAGGACGGTGGATGGGTGGTGGTGAGATGTGTTTATACAAGAGCTTGTTAACAAACGTTAAGCTATTTATTTAACTGATTCCGGTCCCTTCCATTCATAAATGAATTGAGATTAGTTAAATTCGACATAAAACCATATATTTGTTTTGATTTTTGCTTCCTTTAGAGTGCGTTTACACTATCGGTAAAGCTTACGACCAAACCGGATATGGCCTGAGGATATTTTTACACGCTCTGCGCATGCGCACAGCGAGTCTAAAATTAATGTGAAACCAACGAATGCAGCCGTGTGTGTCAGTTTCAACTTAGCTGTAAACATCTACAAGGTTCATGCAAACATTGAAACGTCCTTGATTGTAGCAGTTGTTCCTAGTATATTCTGCAACAGCAGTCCAACAGCCGACAGCGAGCATCATAATTGTTAGTTGAACATATGAACATATTGTTTTACATCTCACTCTGGTAACCAACCCACAGCCCTACTAAGAACTGTTTTAATAGTGGTGATCAGTGTGGTGAAATGTAGGGTCACTATAATCATAAATAGTTTTGCCAAATAGCATCACTGTAAAACATGCCAATAGAGTAATCTCCCTTGGCTGCTGTGTATTGGCCACCATGCTGACTACATGGTTTCTAAATAAAGGACCTTTTTACCAAAGTCCTTGTTTTGATACAAGTCCAAAGATTATTACAATCGGGTCTCAGTGAATAGAGGTAACGATTGTTAGATTGTTGTTTTTGTTAGATTGTTGTTTCGGATAAGTACTGAATTTTTAAGAGGGTCAGTTATTTCAGAATTAGTTGGCCTTGTTTGTTGGAAGAATGTTCTGTTTAACTCTCAATCTTCAGGTGTTCCCATCAGTGGACAATGTGCGTGTAAGCCTGGAGGGGTATCCCGCTGGCACGTCTGTACCGTACACCATGAAGACAGCCCAGAAACAGAAGTACATACACCAGCACTTCAGGTAGCAAAACCCTTATACAAATCTACTGGGGTTGGAATTGGTCTTCAGCAACCTATATTGGTCATAAGAGGCGAATAAATGGATTGGATGGTCAGACAGAGAGACTTGTTTGGTTGCAGGTCACTGCACCAATGTCCGTGACTCTGTGAGATATTGCTCATAATACCTGGCTTGTCTGGTCACTTACAGACTGTCATCATGAAATAGTGCACAGGAATGGTGGGCATATTTGATACTGACTGTAGATCGGAGTCTGGGGGGAGCAAACTTTAAATGAGAGATTACTGCCACATGCCTTGGTCATTTATATCTGTGATAGTAATGGAAGTTGATAGTCAAACTGATGAAAGCGCGCGGAGTTTAGTTTTACGCCGCACTGAGCAATATTGCAGCTATATGGTGGCAGTATGTCAATAATAAAGTCTGGACCAAACAATCCAGTGATCAACAGCATGAGCACTGATCAATGCAGCTGGGATATGATGACGTGTGTCAACCAAGTCAGTGAGCCTGACCACCCGATCCCGTTATTCGCCTGTTACAAGCATGGGTTACTGAAGATCAATTCTAACCTGGATCTTCATGGGTCCAAACTGATGAAAGACATATAAGAAACAGCATGTGTACTGTTAAGCAACAATCTCCATGTATGTTATCTATTTGGGTGGTGTTACTCATGAAAGTGTACCATATTGCAGACAGTGGAAGTCTGAGGGGCGCGGTAGAAGTCGAGCATGTCCCCATATCAAGACATATGTTCGTCCTTCACCTGACAGTACTGAAATATCCTGGTTTCTCGTTACAAGGTGAGAATATGCATTTCAAATAGAGATGTAATGGCTTATAAAAACACCTTCTTCATTTTGCTCTTAAACATGATAAAGCATAATGTATAGACTAACCTTGAAACTTATCAAGGAATGTTATAAGTTACTCATGAATGAACAATGTCAGTACTTTATACATGAATGTTGTAAATAACTGAGGAGTTGAAGCTGAAGACTATAAGTGAATAATTCAAGTACCATGTGAATGTATGCAGCAAGCAAATCATGGACGAATGCTGTAAGTCTCAAGTGAATGAATGCTGTCCTTTTTTGCCAAGGACAGATAATCTTTTATTTGACATAGGTCCTTGATTACTCTCTAAATTTCTTCAGTATGTTAAGATCTAAAAGATATATCTTTCCATAATTAATGTTTCATGTTTCCAGTGCCAATTTGTCCAAGGCAGCATGGGGTGCCTTTGAAAAGAACGGCAGCCAGCTGATGATCAGGTCCTATGAAATAGGTGTACTCTTCCTTCCTGCACATTTTGTAAGGATACCTCCTGTCTTTACAAAAAGATAACATCTCTTTTCAGTATCATGTAGAATGCTGATTTGCCATGAACCTGAAGAAAAACAGGATTGCAAATACTTTAAGAGGTGTTATCAGTCAATTACATAACGTATATGTATGATCGATACCCTTTGGAAAAGCTTTGATCATATCTATAAGTTTGAAATTGAATAAACAAAAACCTAGACATAAAAGAGTGGTCACACACCCTATGAGTGTCATGTTTGATGAATGGAAACAACTCAAGTCAATAATCTACACCTGCCGTGATGTTGCTGGAATATTGCTAAAAGCGGCGTAAAACCAAACTCAGTCAGTCAGTCAGTAATCTACAAAGATATGTTGGTGTTTCTTTATTACTACATCAGACTCCACACTACATTGAGGCATCCATGACTGTTAACTTAAAGTTTGCTGTTTACATTTAAGGGAGCTACAGCTATGGTTTGTTAAAGCCTATATGGCACTGAATTCACTGAGATTTCGAAAAATCATAGCATTAAATATGTTTGAATTCTGTCATCAAGGGTTGTGAGACACTGCCAGCAACAAGTGATGCACAGGAGGCAGTTGCACGAAGTGATGAGGTCGTGTTGCCTCTGCCGTATGACCTGCCCCTCACTCCATATGTCAAAGGAGGTATGTATGTTGTTCCGCAGCCTACTCAACCTTAGTTAAGAAAGTATGGATTTTAAAATGGCTATAACATGGCTTTGGTGCAATGGTTGTGTGAGAGTTAGTTAACTCTTCACTTGTACAAACTGTCAATTTATTTCTGTTGATCTTGGTGTTTGGCTTGTCTTTTCTAGACCGTAGCATTTATGTTCCTTTAAAATGTTTGTTTTGTCATGTATCTGTCGATATATTATATGTATTGATAATCTCCGCTTTCCACTTGTAGACGTCCATGGATGATGGACGTGCCATGTGTCCGTGCTCCAGACACTAACGGAAACATGTGGTGTCCTCCACTGTAGACAACTCCAGATGCTGAACCTTCTGTAGTCATCCTTTTCCATCTACGAATGACCACCTATGTTGATTCTTCTGTGGTCATCATGCTCCTGAACCAAGTGACAGCTTCTGTTAAGTCATCTGCTGTCATCATGCTCCAGTAATGAATGAAAGCATGAGTTAACCCTTCTACAGTTATCATGCTTCAGGAATGAATGACACTCAGCTACAGACACACATGTCAATATATATCTTCCACAATGGGTCTGATAGGAAATGGCCTCTTCAGGGTTTGTGAAAAAGGCCAGCTAAAGACACTATTGACAACGTTGTATAACCCTTGCTGTAGTGATGGCCACTGTGATATGAACTTTTAGTCTATGGACATGAAAAGACGAAGCTGCGATTAATTTGTTTACCAGCTATACAATGTGTAAATGCATTTTTTGGGGGAAAAGGAAAAAAATCGAAGACAAAATGACGAAAGGTTAATCTATTGTACAGTCTCAAATTGTCGATGCTTTAATTTTCACATGTACATATGTCAGTGTATATGTATGCATGGTCAGTGTATACAGACTTAGAGATCTTATCACTAGTTTGGCAGTTGTGTATGTTTTCAGTGAGATACAAAAATCATTTGTGTATTAACTGATGCAGAATCTAAACTAAGTATTATTGTGCAATACAATTTTATTGTGAAGGAATGCTGTACATTTCCAAGCGTTTTATGTCTGCCAAGTAAGGATTATTTTTATGAAGATTATTTTAATTGTGTTTACATAAGTTTAAGTGACATGTCAAATAACACAAGAAGATTTACACACATGTATGTAGTCCCAATCAACATCTAACAGAACATCTTTCTTAAAAATTTCCTTTGTCAAGACATATTGGATTTAACATTTGATGGTTGCATATGAACTTCTGTCTTTTCTGCACAGAAAAAAAGCCGCAAAAAAATCTGATGGATTTGCACATCAGATTATGATCAATGTTCAAGAGAAAACTACAATAAATAGTGTCTGCAAATAGCCTGAATATCTTTACATTTAGATAGATCTCGATTTATCAAGATTTATTAATAATATATGCAATAAAATATTTGACATTTAAAATGCTTCAGTTTTTATTTTCTGGTCCATGCAATGACAAAACAAGATGACATCAATCAATATAGACTCATGTCACACATTATATAAGGTCTCAGCATGCAACCTGTCATGATCCAGAATAGTGCAGCTGTGTCTGTGTAGATTGGTAAGGGAGGCTTATATGGAAACGGAGGAACTGATTTCAAAACATCTCTCGCACACCGCGAGTCAAAGACTAGACTATAAGTCAATGACATTACACACCATATGCAGCGTTCGAAATACCTGCCTACCCGACCACCCGGGACAGGTTATGTTCAACACAGACTGCCTGATTCTCGAATTCACCTGCCCGACGGTCAGGTTAAAATTTTAATCATTATTAATTTTAATTTTTTTTATTTTAATTAAGTAAGTTAGTATTTTTTGTGGGCAGGTAAGTTTTGGTCAGGACTGGCAAGTTTTACATATAACCAGCCCTGTGGTCTGACTGAAATTTTTGGGAGTTTCATACCCTGCCATATGCTTATTTTGCCTAATGTGGGGGCACAGTGGGTGAGCTGGCTAAAGCGCCAGGCTAGTGATCCAGCGAGGTTGAGGTGTCGGGATCGAGCCCGTGACTGGGTGTAAAAACCTTGGAGTCAACTTTGTGTGCAGAATCTTTCAGTGTTGTCACAACCGCTAGTGTACAGTACACAACCCTGTGTACTTAAAAAGAACCCACGGATCCGTTGGTATATGACCAGATGGTGGCCACATGAATACGTGCAATCACCTAGTTCCGGGTACGGCAACGTTCAGTAAACTTGGACAAAGTACTGTGACTATGTGTCCCCAGTCCACCCAGCTGTGAATAGGTACCTCGTTAGGATGAGAAAGCCACAATAAACTCAGTGCGCCTTGTGGCTGCAAGAGATGTATGATCCCCGGGGAGTTGAGATTGATAATAAGATGTGCCGTTGAGATTGACATCCAATGATCGAGGGAAAAATTACCAGCGTCTTGAGCATGTACTAATTGCGTGGATATGTGCGCTATATATAAATATCATAGACATAGAATAATAATTGAGTGGCGACAGAGACCAGAAATTGTCAAGAAAGAATTACATTTATGATAACAGGGAAAGTGCCAGTCATTAAACGTAAAGTCTGTTGAACAAACTCTGGGGTTGTTCAAAACAGTGAAAATTCATATTTTATGAATAATTCTCCAGATTTGATCTTACCTTATAGTTTGGCGATTTGAAAAATATATCCCTTCAGATTCAATACGGAGTAGCCTCCCTTAGAGCACACGTCTGCAAGCTCCCCGAAAGTGTGTGACACTTCGTGTGGAGAATCTATCGCTGTGAGGAGCTTGACCTGTCAACACACAGGCATGATGTCCCCAGCAGCAACAATTGTCACCATATGCAAATTGTGGAAAATAGTTTGTATCTTGGTTCCTATACATGTTCACACGGCCGTTCAAGCAGCTATGGAATTGCTGTCCTTACCACTCGAAGAACTATTTGGGTATTGGAGGAAAGATTGGTTGACTGAGGACATTATGCATTGCGTCGCCAAAAATGAATGGCGGTAAATGTGAACCGGTGAACCTGTAGATATCAAACTAGACACGTTTGACATCACACACATCGATCTCAATGTCGATAAGTGATTTGGATATACATCCTAGAATTATTGGATCATTACAAAAAGGTAACGCAGCGATGACAATTATTTTTCATGGCTCATCCACTGACCAACCAAGTCAACTTGCTCGTCCAGGACATAGTCAGTGGACATAAGTATTCGTCACTGTGTTTAATTTCCATAGACTTACATGTTAATTTGGTGCAGCTAGAAAAATTGTGTTGAATTTATTTTTCGTTTGATCTTGTTCATATTTTGCACATGGGTCATGAATCATTTGGACAGATTTCCGCCTAAGATTTATAGTGAGAATATATGGGGTTTGTTTTATAGAAAGTCTACGGTAACCCTAAACGAATTACCCCCGAACCGGCCCCAAGCCGAACCGGCCCCTGATATTTAACCCGAACCGGCCCCTGATATTTGACCCAAACCGGCCCCGGGAAGTAAATATTTCTACATTGACATATGAATTAAAGTTCCTTTAACATAAATGACGAAAACATATTACTCATATGTCTTTACATGTAATATCGATTTTTGAAAATATATTAGCGAATATTAGTGTCGATGAGAGGCAAGTGAACATGCAAGTGCTGCTGTTCACGAGATCCCGTGGTAGAGGACATTTTATGTAATTCTTTTAAGAATCTAAAGATCAATTGCAAAACAATACTAAAGTAAAAGCGTGTACTTACATTTTTCGTTCATCGTATCCACAGAATTGACACATTAATTCAATACAAGAATAGCACATAAATCCAATATAATGAATTCACGTTTCACCTTTGTTACGACCAAGTTTCCAGTAACGAAAAATAATGTCGATCCTTCATCTTTTAGCATGTTTCCATGTGTGGAACATTTGTCAAGATTTTCAACACACATTAACCACCTTTCACAGAGTGAATTCTGCTAACATTATGAAAACTAAAACATTCTTCAGCTCCAAAATTAAACTGTTATTTTTATGGCGTCTCACTGAGCGATTAAAGTGAATGTGTTGTTTTAATATTTCTTTGAACGGATTATCGTGGCGAATTAATGTACATGTTGTCTTAAAGCGTATGCTCTTACTTGACACTGATTGCGTTCACTCAATGTCAACTGCACCGTATACTGTTATCTTCACCTTGCGTATAATCATATAAAAGACATTATCTGAAGGACATGATTCATAATTTGTTCATCATGGATAACGTGACCGATTCTTGCGTTTACTGCTCACTGAGATGCCGCGAAAGACAACAGTGCCTATATAATAAATTAATTGAAATCTTCATGTATATATATATATAATAAATTAATTAAAATCTTCATGTCTGTATATATTATATATATAAGAAATTAACTGAAATCTTCATGTCTGTATATATATATAATAAATTAACTGAAATCTTCATGTCTGTATATATATAATAAATTAATTGAAATCTTCATTTCTGTATATATATATAATAAATTAACTGAAATCTTCATGTCTATATATATATATATAATATATTAATTGAAATCTTCATGTCTGTATATATATATAATAAATTAATTGAAATCTTCATGTCTGTATATATATATAATAAATTAATTGAAATCTTCATGTCTGTATATATATATATAATAAACTGAAATCTTCATGTCTATATATATATAATAAATTAATTGAAATCTTCATGTCTGTATATATATAAAAATTAACTGAAATCTTCATGTCTGTCTGATTAATTGTCTGATTATCGTTAATTAACCCAGGGGCCGGTTCGGGTGCGGGGACGGTTTGGGTTAAATATCCAGGGGCCGATTTGGGTTAAATATCCAGGGGCCGGTTCGGGTGTATCCCCCCTAAACCTACACCTAACATAATGCTAAATCTAAACCCTAACCCCCTGAAATAATCATAATAAACGGCCGGAACTCTTACCGCTCATGTAACTACATTGCGGAAAATACTTGAAGGAACATTACATGGAAATTATGTATCTGATCTGAGATGATTTCCTAACAACCTGCAAAATTTGACAACCAAATAACGAAAACTGTATTAATGAAAATTATTACAGTTACACTAAAAGGGATACGGTGATTTCGTAGACTGAACCAGTTCGTAGACGCGGTGGATTCGAACCCAGACTGGTTTGTAGACGGTGATTTCGTAGACGTGTATTAATAATTGAATAATAGTATATATTAAGTTTGATTTTACTTAGAATGTGTATAACGAAGTTGTTATGCTTTGTTTTCAGTGATACGAAACTAAGGGCAGCTAAGGACAAGAAAGTGTGAATCGAAGAGTGAACGAATATTTTCCCGTCTCTTGTCTAGACTTGTTTTACATGTATTTGTATGAATCTAGAAAACAAATTGTAAAAATGTGAGGCATAATCATTATACAAATAAAATGCAGATAATGTTTTAAACAAGATCATCTGAAAGAGTGTAAAAAGAAGCAAAAAGTGTTTGTACAGGTAAACTTTGTCGGCGGATCAGACAAAATTAGTCTACTCATCATAATTTCCCGACTGTTTTCATTGTTGTGGGAGGATTATCAGGTTTCACTGAGTTGTTGTGAATGTTAATTAGGAAGTGGTGAGTTGTTTTGATTGCGAAACACTCTGTGTAGGAGATGTAAGTGTTTTCTTAAGAAGTGTTTTCTGCTACTTCTCTGCTGGTCTGCGTAGTTGAATTGAATGACGATACTTACCTAATACTTATCTTTTAATTTTACACAACTGAATTTAATATATTAGCGGCCTATGATTTGTCGGACGTGGACCGTTGTGAAGCATATTTTATTATTTTAAGCATATTTTCACCGCCGATCATAGTTACCTGATATATTTTATTTATTTCACAAAATGCAAACACTTTTCGTCGATTTTCATTATCATTGAGGTTGAACTTTTCCCATTTTACTAACGTCTACGAATCCACCGGATTTCCACGTCTACGAACCAGTCTGGTCTACGAATTCACCTACAGCCCACTAGAATAACATGCAAGTCTATGAGAATTTTGCCGACTGACGAATACTTATGTCTCATGACTGTCTCTCATTTCAGGGAGAAATGACATTTCCTTAGAAACTATTATTTGTTTCAAGACACGCTAAGCACAGGCGGATCCAGAGCACGGGTGCGCATCCCCCCCCCCCTATCTTTTATACTGAAAGTTTATTAAATGACCATTGAAACTCATGAAAATGACGTGTGCAGCTGTTCCCCAACTGTACAAAAAAGCTGTATCCGCCCCTGCTAGGTGACCCTATACATTACACGATATACAATGGGTACCATGACTACAATGACCCAAGTAAATAGCTTAATTAAGTAAAACCTTTTGTCAAATTTAAGTGCAAGAATGCAGCTAACCAACCCAGCAGTACTATAATGACAGTAGCCTAACGCTTTGTCTCTGTAAAAATTTGACAGAAGCAAATGGTTGCTTTTGAATTGAAAAGGAGCCCGGTTGAGATGGGAGATTCAGAACCAGTGGAAATCTAGACTTGTTTCATTTAGGGCTTTAGCATTGTGGACAGGCTATAATGACAGTCCTGCATTTCTTTGGCTACGTGTGGTAATATGCTCAGTGCTCACAGTACTTACATTGAATATATATTGCAAAACTGAGTTCATTTGCTTTTAAATTCGTTGTAAATTAAATTTCTGAATTACTGAATGTTTATTTTTGTTTTGTTATTATTTAATGTAAGCTAACTTACAGTGTTGATAGTTAATTGCAAATCCTTAATTTGGCCTAAGCTGTCGGGATCCTCCCACACTAATTTCACCAGTGAACACCATAAAAGTGATGTTGTATTCGTTCTGACCACCTTCTGCTTTTCCTTCTTTTCTCAATGAGTATGTAACATGGAAAGAGTTTTGAACACTGTCCAATTTTCATAAGCGCTTCAAATATCCTGCATGTACTGATAGTATTTGGACATCCTTTTCTATGTTAGGGGGACGGTGGGGTAGCCTAGTGGTTAAAGTATTCGCTCATCACGCCGAAGACCCGGGTTCGATTCCCCACATGGGTACAATATGTGAAGCCTGTTTCTGGTGTCTAACGCTGTGATACTGTTGGAATGTTGCTAAAAGCAGTGTAAAACTAAACTCACTCACTCTAGGTTAGGGGTGGTGGTCTGCATCAAAATGAATTCAATTAATTTATTTTTTATTATAAGCTGTCCACTATTGTATGACAAATATTTACAGTTGACTCTAGAAGTCTGTAATACTTATTGGAGTGAAATGCTCAATATACAGTATTCATTCCACTCTCCTACCCAGAGTTCCATGCGGCAAGCCAGCATAGTACCTCTGCCACAGGCCAGAAAAATGTGACGATTCGTCACATCTTGCAATGTCCATTCATTATAATGTACAGATTTCTTTTACTCTTTTATTTTTGACGAGTCTACACATCTAACTAAACATCTTTAATAGAATGGTTTAGTTTCACTTAGAAAATATCCAAAAACAGGTAACACTATTTCGATTTGCGTAGCGATCCTTTGTTTACATAGGTTGTACGGCTCCACGTGCTGTCATCGAAGCCGACGGAGAGCAAACGATGCAGCCAGTTTGATATCTACATATGTACTGTCATAGACCTAACTGTCGCAGTTGTGGAAGAATATATATGTAACAATGTAAAACATTATGAAGAGAGCGCCGAAAAGCTTTCGTGAGTCCAGTCTCTTCTTATTATGAATATGCTCGTTTGATTACAAACAAGAGAAAAGTCCGGTCACGTGATATGCAAATTAGCCTGTGGCAGTGATGTTATGTTAAGTCATCGCTGTGCTGGAGTGTGTATTCATTCTTGTTCCTGATATATGTTATTAATATTATAACTGTATTAGGGCTGTTTCAATTCACTTCCAGATTTGGTGAACCAAACTTAATACCTTCATGAATTCATTTCGTTATTTGTGATCACAAGAATCGAATATCCATTAATTGGTTTACACATGAATTCAGTGTTAAGTGAGATATATGCTAAATGGAATATATCCAAGCCAGGCAGGATAGCAGTCAACACTATCATATATTTATTTTAACATTACTGTAGTGATTGGTCATTGTCATAGTAAATTAACTGTCAACATGGTGAAAACATATAAAGAATCTATTTTGTTATTGTTTCACTGAATATGAATATTTGTTACCCACCATAACATTTGTATTTGTTACCAAATATTTGTCATATGTAGATTCATTGCAGCCCAACATATTATCATTTGTAATTTCATTGTTTTGACTCACTTTAAGCATCATGATGAGATATCATTTGTCTGAGTTTATCATGAAGACAAAGTAATTATATGCCGAGAAAGACTCAAGTTTGGTAAAGGCTCCAGCTAGAGTGTAAACTGAAACAAGTCTTTTCCAAAGAATTAAGGAATATGGAGTAATTTTACCTTTTCTGTTTTTTCATACAGCTCGTTTTCAAAGTTTTGAAGCAATTTTAAGCTTGTCCTCAGCTGACATCGAGCGAGCCACCGGCCTCTCTGCTGGTGACGTCAATAATCTCAAGCAAGCTGTTGCTGAAGCAGTCCCGAAACCACCTGTTGTCACAGGTATAGTTCTTACTTACATTCATCTGAAAGTCACCAGTACTTGATGAAGAAATGACTTCAAACCATTCAAACAAATAAACAATACTCATGGTAATGGTCATGAAGTTGTCATCATTTAGTTTTTAAAACTTTTGCACATTTCGCATTCAGTACTTGATGCTTATGTATGAGAGCACTTTAGGACACATAAGACTTACGATAGTCATAGCATTGCTTTACTTTGGAATTTCCATGCTTGGTCCATTTTTACAATGTAAGTAAATTATCTTGCTTTACGATTCTTTTTTAAACACTTATGCTTTAATATCAAAGAGATATCACAGACTAAGGGCAAGCAAGAGTGTAGAATGCCTGTATTTCTAAAACAGATATCACAAAGATGTTTGCATCACACTTTGGTCTTAACACAAATAACCTAAGTCCTTAAACATTTTGCAACAAACAAATATCTAACCACAGCTATATCTAACCAACTCATCAAGGAAATGTTCACACCCATAGCTTCTGTGAGTGGCATTTAGAAGGTGGTGTGATTAACAACAGGGTGAGTCCTATGGACATACAACTTCTTTATTATTAATATGTGCTATGCTTCGCTGTGGCTGCTTGAACCATTATTGAGCACTTGGTTGCTCAAATCAATAATGCAGAAGTTTTATATGCATAGATTTCTCCCCTTTCTTCTTCACACCCATAGCTGTATCAACCCATATATTAACCAAAGATTATGTAACTTCAACAAATCAACTGAAAGATGAACACGTTTATTAAAAAAAACATAAATATATGTTTGTGTAGTAGCACCACCACTGGTCACAATCAATACTCAATAGAGCCTACAGAGATGCCTACCCTTATGCTTTAGGCGTAATTATTGCGATTTTGAGCATTAAATTACACCATTACACTTAATCTGCGAAAATTACGCTTTTCTTCTCGTGTTACGAAAATCAATAAAGTGGATAAATTTTCACAAGGAAGTGTTTCGTAATGCACAGGTGCAGGGGTGCAGAAATGGCCTTGCACCGATAGGAATCGCTTACTCATAGCATCGCACTAATTCCAATTAACTTGCAAGGAATTAAAGTATTTTGAGTCACATGACCAACATTTTTCGATGTATGGAGCTTCATAATGATTGGTCACATGTGTTTCTGCCTAGAATCTTCCTTTCAAGAAAACGTGTACCATGTTGAAGCGATCGGCAGACAAGTATTACACTTTTTAGGTCCAAATTACACTTTTTGACCTCTAGTATTACGCTTAGGCCCAAAATAGGGTTGGCATCTCAGGAGCATAGGACCTATTTTGACCAGGTTTGGCAAACAAGATAGCACCAATGGAAATATCCAGACTCTTGAACATTGACACTCTGTAACCAAATCCCTATGTTGTCAATGACAGTGATCTCCATCAATATTTCCATCTTATTTTGCTCTTAAATGTATGGGTTTTAATTCACAATCTCAACTGACTTGACAGAGTTGATTGAGACTCAAAATTCAAGTTTCAAGTCTCTGCTTTCATTTTTGTATATAAAACAAGCACCTGTTTATTTATCTTTCAATGGTCCTTGATTCTATTTCATTAAGGTTCTTTACAATTTGGACATTATGCACTAATCGGAAACCTGAGCCAATATGAAGTTCACTTGGTCTAGTATACTAAGCTGATGGCTCCATACATCAAAACTACAGTTTGGGTTAAGCAGACAAAGACGTATTTAGCATAAATTGCTTAGATGTTGATTTTCGTAAATGCGTTATTTGTCATTTTGGTTTTCAGCTTTGGAATTATTGAAAGGCTCTGGCAGTGTTGTTCCCATCAGGAAACTGAGCACAGGCTGCCCTATTATAGACAGGCATCTGAAAGGTAAAATTAGCAATTAGATACAAAATTATAATATTTTACCATCAGCTTATGTCATGTATTAGTTGCAGATTGGTTGGTATTAAGGATGGAAACATATTGTAGTTGATGACTTGATTATTGTGCTCAACTCTCCATAAACACGATCAAGGCAGGGCCCAGGCATCTGAAGTGCTGCAATTTGCTGTGCGCAGTTATGTCCCTTTGACACACCAGACACCTGTCTATGGGTTCGAATCCCATTGTGGCTTAGTTTTATGTCATTTGCATTGGCAATGTCTTCTGAAAAACTGCATAATAGATTATGTTAGCCTAATTAGCATGATAGTAAGCTTTACTTTCCCACAGTGACAGCGTTGTGGGTAATTCCCAGTAGATGTGAACCATGTCTATGTCATTCTGCCTACATGTGATTCTACCTAAATATGATTGCATATATATGTCATTCTGCCTTTATGTGGCTCTTTTACAGTTAAATGAATAATGTAACAAATTGTGCCCCCAACACATTGCCTGTAATTTATGAGACCTTTCAACTGTCATTGTCATACGCAAACATTTACAGATGAATTAAGTCAAATGTTTTAATTTATGATGGGAAGATTTATAGATTTTGGAAACTTTGTCAAGATATACAAAGACAGTTTGTTATTCTTCTAAACCTGAGACATGCTATAAATGATTACTATTGAAAATGATTTCAGAATCATATATCTGATGAGATAATATGATCAACTGATTGTCATTTTTCTGGTGCAAGAGCAGGATTTTACATGACACATATTGGTTTGAGTCATAATTGACAACCCTATGTTCAGACTGAGTATTTACAATAAAATAGTAAAATAAAATATTAATCACTATTCAGCTAGCTGTTTAAGATAAAACAAATCTACACACTTTCAGAATTAAATGAGTATCCACAAAACAGAAACTTGGAATTTCCACGGTCTAATTATAGATCACTGATGCGATGTTTACACACCAGCAACAATCAGCTGCTTTTATTACTGACACACATTTACTGCAGTCACGGTGTGTTTGATAATCTGTCTCACAGTCCCTGATGCCCCTTGAAGATCCGGGTTAGAATATTGATCTTCAGTAACCCTGGTGATGCTTGTCGTAAGGGCCGACTAACGGGATCGGGTGGTCAGGCTCGCTGGCTCGGTTGACACATGTCATTGGTTCCCAGTTGTGCAGATCGATGCTCATGCTGTTGATTACTGGATTATCTGGTGCAGACTTGATTATTTACAGACCGCCACCATATAGCTGGAAAATTGCTGAGTGCGGTGTAAAACTTAACTCACTCACTGACTTACAGACCCTGAACCACATTTCTTTCCCTTCTGCCTAGCCCTCCTTTTAATGCTAAAGCTCTAAATAAAGCAAGTCCTGATTTCCTCAGGTTCTGAATTTCCCATTTCACAGGGGCTCCTTATCATTTTAAATGGATTTATTTGTTACTATCCAAAATATGTTCAGAGACTAAGCATTAGTCTATGTGTTTGACATCAGACAAGCATTGGTTCTTCATTCATAATAACTCACAACATCCAAATTAAAAAAATACAACACACACAGCTGGAACAGATGTAGGTCAAACTGTCATCCTTGTCAAGCCTGTGCAGTCACAGATGATGCCGTCAGATGCCTACAATGTTTTTAAAAAACCAGTCAGTGTACTGTATTATTGGCAGATACTTTCAATCAAGAAAACACATGAGTGAGTGAGTAAGGTTTTACACCGCTTTTACTTTTAGCAATATTCCAGCAACATTACGGCAGGGGACACCAGAAATGGCCTTCACACATTGTATCCATGTGGGGAAACTAACCCATGCCTTAGGCGTGACAAGCGAACACTTGAACCACTAGGCTTCCCCTGGACATATAGTTGTGTTCAAGGACATACGGGTATCCCATGTCAGTTCATTCATAAATGGGGCGGTGGGGTAGCCTAGTGGTTAAGGCGTTCGCTCGTCACGCCGAAGAAACGGGTTCGATTCCCCACATGGGTACAATATGTTAAGCCCATTTCTGGTGTCCCCCGCTGTGATATTGCTGGAATATTGCTAAAAGCGGCGGCGTAAAACCAAACTCACTCACTCACTCATTCATAAATCCAATGTAAGGTCATTTCCAGATCAATTTGTTGTAAACAAACTGTGTTGTCTGACAATATGGTATTAGTTAGTTCACTTTGTTCTCTAGGAAAGTAGAATGATACAACCAGCATGTTGTCTGTCTTGATGAATATTTTGATTTCTGGATGATAACTTTGACAGTTATCTCAGTCATAATTGCTCTTGAACTGTGTTCATCAAGGACAGATCAAGTTTGACAATCAGCGAAATCAGCCATTACTAACTAGGTTAAAGGTCATAAAACCACATCAGTGAGAAATTGGCCTGGGGCTTGTTGCGGTATGGTAATAAGAAATCTAATTAACTTGTCATATGTCCAATTTCATGTCAGGTCTCATTACTGGATGAATTGGTCAAACAAAATCATAGGACACATGTCAGCATGATTAGTCAGTGACTAAATATTCTGGTTCCAGAATGCAATCTTTCTCATGAATTTAACTATTTAAAACTATTCAACTTATAAACAAATTGTATGTTTTAGCCTAACTACTGGCTGGTGTGCAGTGGGTGTCATTTGTAGTACAGTTTTTGCCTGATGATGTTTCTCTGAATACTACATACAACAGTGGCATTTGTCAAGATTTACACAGATGCTGTGGGTTCACAGGCCTTGAGTGCAAAGTGAAAGTGACGTATGATTTCATACACTTACTGCTTGACTCATATTAGATGAGCCTGCGCAGTACACGTGTTTGTGACAAGTAGGCGGGGTAGGGAATCTAGACGAATACACTTGGTTGCTACAGGTAGATTGGTGATCAAGCACGTGCAATACATGCTAACCATGGCGTGAACTCAATACTGCTTCTGTTTAACACGTGTCTCACAGAGCGATTTAGTTCAGCAAGACACCATCTCGACACGAGTCAATTTTTGAATGTTTGCAGATTTTAATTAATTTAACATGTCCAAGTTAGGGAAGCATGGGTGAATTGTTCATTATCAGGAAAAGGAGTTGGCCTACAATGTTATTATTTATATGGAAAAGATGTGTGCAACCAAAGTAGACGCTATTTCAGTAGCCTTGCTACTGGTCTTTCCATGGCAACTTTAAAATGTATTAAAGTGGAAGGTGATAGGGGTGCCAGTAGGCCTACTTTTATTAGTCCAACCAAGTTGCGCAAACCCAAAACTTCCACGCACAAACTTGACGATTTTGACCGGTGTGCAGTCCGTCAATTTGTACAAAGTATATATGGAGTGCAAAACCAACTGTCTACTCTAGATATGATATATGATATGGCAAGAAGCCAATTGCATTACCAGGGTTAAAAGGAAAGTTTTCGAAAAATCTGAAAGACATGGGGTTTAGGTGGCGAAAAACGCAGCCAAATCATAAGGTTTTTATGGAACGAAAAAGACATCGTTGCAAAGCGCATGCAATGCTTACGTGCAATTAGAAAATGTCGAGATGAAAATCGAACTATCATCTTTATCGATGAAACATGGTTGCATGTACACCACATTGTCCCAAAATGTTGGCAGCTTGATTGTGAGGTTGTGATAAATGGGGTTCAGCCTCCGTCCGGGTTCGATCCCCGACCACGTCATACCAAATTAAAATTAGACGTTAAAATATGGTACTTGTCGGTCCCTGCCTGTCGCTCGGCATTAATGGGTACAACGAGGACTGGTCGGCTCGGAGTCAGTATAATGTGTCTGAGTGGGGTATTCATGCTTCACTGCGGCATGGTATCTCAGTGGGCTAGCACTATAAAACCAGCTTCAGTCTGGGCTAGTACAAGCAGCCACACATACACATACACATACACATACACATACACATACACATACACATACACATACACATACACATACACATACACATACACTAGCATGCACGTCGTCATATGAGCGAAATATTCTCAAGTACTGCATTAAACCCAATTTCACCTCACCTCACTAACAACAGCTAACAGAAAAGATGATATCAAAGCTTGGTTACAAAGGCACAATGTTGTATTTGACGATAAAATGCTCAAAGCTGAACTGTTGTGTCTGGCAAAATCTAACAAATCAGACCCTGTCTATAGAGTAGACACTATGTTGAAACACAGAATTGAACCCAATTGAGTTGATTTGGGCCAATGTAAACAATTATGTCGCTTGAAGTTCACAAAAACTTCGCTAAGAGTTGCCTTAAACAAGAGAATGTCTGATCTCGGTGCCAAGGAATGGTCCGAATGTTGTAAACATGTGAAAACCATTGAAGATAGCTACTGGCAACGGGAAATTGCAGTAGAAAAAGAAATTGACAGAATCGTGATTGAAGTGGGACTGGCAAGTGATTCAGACACTGAGACCGATTCAGAAAGTGACGACTAAGGCCTGCAGTATGCCTAAATCAGTAAACTCCATAATGGATCTATTCGATATTTGACCCCTGTGTGGAGAGGATGCACCAGAATATTTGCCGATTATACATCCATTTGTAAACATAACAAATGTTCTTTTCTCTAGCACCTGTGTGGGGTGTTTTGTAAATAAAGTTATATTTGTCTTGGTTCAGTTTCTCAGGATCTGAGATGTACACATACTTAGTATGATATAACAATCAAACCGCGATTCACATGAGGAAATTGGACTTTTCAAGTTTTAGACGACAACCTGTTTGCCTCATTTTTCATATGGAATGTTCTGGAGGGCGTTCCCCGTATCTGCAAATTGGGGTCATTTGTCAGGTCATGGCTCATCTATTAGTAGTAGGGGCGGTGGGGTAGCCTAGTGGTTAAAGCGTTGGCTCGTCACGCCGAAGACCCGGGTTCGAATTCCCACATGGGTACAATGAGTGAAGCCCATTTCTGGTGTCCCCCGCCGTGATGTTGCTGGAATATTGCTAAAAGCGGCGTAAAACCAAACTAACTCACTCACTCACTCACTCTTTATTGTATACTGCGGTTCTAAGTCTGCAAATAGTTGAGTCTGGACCACAAGATCCAGTGATTGACATCATGACCTCACCCTGCCAGTCTCATTTTACCTCTAATTGAAAACATGTAGAATAAATATTTCTACCATCTTTAGGTGGTGGCTATAAATTGACTTGTAATTATTTTGAGTGACTGATATTAGACCTGAACATGCTTTGTCTAGAGTTGACAATTGTCATATTATTTGCAGGGGGGGATATTGTCAACCGGTATTACGGAGATTTCAGGGGAGAGTGCGAGTGGCAAGACTCAACTGTGTCTACAGCTGTGTCTCACAGCACAGCTTCCACTAGAACATGGAGGCCTGGAAGGAGGTGAGTCAGAATTTTACAATTTTGTTGCAGCTGTAATCCAGAAACAGAACAAAACTCCTAAAATAACAAAGACAATAACTTGTGTGGGTTGGGGTGGATTTTTTTACAGTTAGTCCAAAGTCAGACCAATTAAACAACAAACCAATCAGGCAACCCATTCGTAACTACTCGCCTCTTTCCGTGACCTACAAGAAGACTCATACCTGTATCGTACGCCATTATTGCCAGGAATTTTGGCAAACCTATTAAATTGCGAGTAGTAAAACACATTTCGATGCATGAAAATGGCGGCACCTGTAAACTTTGAAACTTCTCTAACTATACAAAGCACAATATAAACATAAAATTTGAGCTAAAGGATCAGCAACTTTCAACACTGAAACATACTTACAAAAGGGATGACTGTATAGTTGTTTTGTCCACGGGATATAGCTATAGGATATTCTTAGAGTAGCCATGTTTGAGTTATCTTTCCTTAGTACTAGTACTAGATTATTTCATCTCCGTGCCCATTTGCGCTTAGACAGGGCCAAGTCTTAAACATGGCCACGTCTTAAACATGGCCAACGAGAGGGGTACAAGATGCCATCCGGTTGCCGGAATGACATGAGTAGTTACGAATGCCAACCAATCAACCCAAGAACAAATCCAATGACACAAGCACATCCTGTACAAGGGTGCACACCGAAGAAATCAGATGTCATACCACCTTCATTAACAGTCATACATTATTAAAAGACTTCTTGTTGTCAGCTTTCTTTCTAACCAATAATGCCAGAACGCAGTCGCAGCGAACTGCCTTCTCTCCGACTTCCTGCCTAAATCATCCAGTTCTGCACAAGATCTGCACATGTCAGTGTGCATTTTGATCACTCTACTTTTGAACAAAGTTCATGCCTTCCCTCTGACTTTGATAGAGGTCTATAGCCTTATGGCAAATGTTGTCCCTTGTTACACTGAAGACCTTGGTTGGTTCTCATGGGTACCATATAGGCAGTCAATTTCATGTGTCCCATGCTATGCTATTTCTCGGATATTAATATTATTAATTAACTTTATCCATGTTATTGAATAAAGTATTGCTGGCAATATCAAAGTTGGCCATTGTCCTCCCTGATGCTATTCAAACCTAAGGCAAGTAAGGTGTCATCGTCATTGCTCATCAAACACATGACAGGTTTGACATTTGACTGTAAACGTTGAGTTTTCTGACAAACAATTTGTTTTGTTTGTAACTAAATATGACTTTGGAACCTGTCAACTGTCAGACCAGCAAACCAAAGATCATTGGTGTTTTTTAATTATAATGCATCATGCAGAGAACAATTGCAATACATGGGTACTTGCTGCTTGAAGTGATGCTCTGGAACTCTGATGCACTGGAATATGTGGCCTACAGTACAATATAAGGTACACAAATCTGATTAGTGTAACATGACTATCTGAAAAGGGATAGTTTTAAGCCTGAGAAACTGCCCAAGCCCCTCAAATCAGCCGTTTTTGATCTTCAGCCTTCCTTATGTCGATAAAACTAACAAGGTTGTAATAGTGTATCGCCATCTTGTTTCACTTATCTGAAGTATTTCAGTTCCTGTCCTTTTGTTTCCCTGGCACATCAAGATACGTATCTCATCATTACTAACCTAAATGTGCCCCTAATAGGAAACAAGTCAAGATTTGGTTATGAATAAATACATGATATCACTTGCAGTTGACATGTCTTGTGTACTGTTTCAAATGCAACCAGGAGCCCCTTGTGACATAATGAAATTCAAACTTTGGAATATGAACATTAAGTAAAAATAGCCACACAAGTTCCAAACAAACACAAACCCCATAAAGTGTGATTAAAGCATGCCACATTTTCAGTGGTGATTTCAACAAAATGATGTTTCAATACAGGGTTTGTTGCGGTCTGTGTTTTGCTGTGTTTCAATTGAAATGTTGCTCTCATCAGGTGTTCATGTTATCCATGAGGCAACAGTTGACACAAATCTATGAGGGCAACTTGATCCAGGCATTTGTCAAGATTTAAATTCTGTGAAAAAAACTTTAATTGATAACAACTTCTTTTATTCGTGAGTGTGACGTTTCGGTACAAAGGTACAAGAATCTGTATTGAAATGTCACACTAACGAATAAAAGAAGTTGTTATCTATAAAGCTTTTCTATATTGTACTTCCCAACTTCTAAAATGCCACTCAAAGAAATTAAAACTGTAGATTTTTATTTTGTTCTTCTTGCATGTTTTATTAATATTCCTCAGACATGTTTTTTTAGTTTGGTTTCATTTACAAAATATTTTACAATCAGACTTGTCTGCGAAGTTTCTTAACCAGTAAGTCAGACTGACACAGTGTTTTTTATGTATCAGTGTGGAAGGTTAACTGCTGGTAGGTTTTGTGTGCTCAGTGCGCAACTCAAACTGTCATGTATGAGAGATGCCGTCTCTAGGGACATATTTTACGCCTGTTTGGATCAGTATAGAGCAGGCTGTCTGGCTGAAGTTCACAGTGTCAAACAGTCAGCAGTATCATGGTAGTGTAGCCAACCACAATGAAATAATTCCGATTTTACGACAGTTGATTATTGCTCAGGGTCCACGTGGGAGACTACCTCAACAGTCTCCTTGTATACCGTTGTAGATATTGTGTTGTTTATTGTATACCTTTATAGGTATTGTGTTGTTTATTGACTGTCATTGAGCTCATCTGGCAATATACAATACAAACATTATGTTGTGACTCAGTAGATTATGTTACAGCAAAATGGTAACTTGTTTAATAGTAGATTTGGGTTGGGTGTTTAACCGTCAAGCTCTACATGAGGTTTATACATTGTTGCCTGAAACTTTAAGCAGTTTACTGATTCATATGAGTTGTTTCCAACCATGTGCAGGATGATATGGTTATGATTTAATATGTTTAGCTTGTTTCAAATCTATAAACATAATAAAAGTAAATTTGATTCCAATGTAATCTAACATAATAAAATCAAGTTAAATTAATGTCCATAAGGCTATTATTGTGTACCGGTATATATATATGTATATACTCATGGAAACAATATATATATATGTATATACTCATGGAAACAATATATATATGTATATACTCATGGAAACAAATAAGGGAACGCATGGCAGTACGCGTGTTCCTTTATTCTTTTCCAGGTTTCTTCACAAGGTATGTATTGCACTGTGAGTGAAAGTCTGGAAATAAATAAAGAAACACTTGTACTTTCATGTGTTCCCTTATTAGTTTCTATGAGTATATTAAGGCTGCAACAAATCCAGTATCCTACTTAGTCTTTTGAGCTGAAGAGTTGAATGAATCATCCAGACTATTGTGTCTGAACATTTTCACAGACTTCGGATGGTGGCCATATTTAACTGTCATGTTTGGCACCTGTCAGACATTTCTGTAGACTAACAACTAGTCTCTGAAATGAACATATTTTATAGGGAAAAAAGTTCATAGTAAAAAAAATAAAGTATAACGAAAAGGAGCCCTGAGACTTTCTTCATTTTCAGCTGTGGACATCTAGACTTGCCACATTTACTGGTTTTGCATGGGCTTTCTTGGATATGTTTGCTTCAGGGTCTGTATCACAGACTAACATTTCTGCACCATTGTGAAAAGTGATATGCAGCATGTCATGTGTTTACTTATTACCTATTATCATACTAATTTTGGCATATTGGGTTTTCTTTATCCAGTTTTCAACAACCTTTTTCTAATGTTTCCGTATTTGTTACATTTTGTCTGAAACAGAAACTTCTTTCAAGCTGAAACCTAAATACATGAACAATATTAGCTATAGTGTCTAAGCATTGCTGATAGGCTTGTAGTCAGTGGTTAAGGGCTGAAATAATGCTGATGTAAAATTTGAACTCACTAATGGGATTTTGTTTTTCCCAAATCAGGTGTCCCCTGTCATGATATTGCTACTGTTTGTTGAAAAGGGTTTAGTAAAACCTTCATGCACTGGGAACTCATTTAACCTGATAGGCTTGTAGTCAGTGTAGTGCTGTTAAAGCTGATGTAAAATTTAAACTCACTAATGGGATTTTCAATATTCCTACATGGGTACAATGAGTGAAGCCATTACTGGTTTCGCCGTGATATTGCTGGAATAGTAAATGTGAAACCAAACTGCACTGGGAACTCATTTAACCATACCATTATGTTCTGTGATCTGTTATACCCCTATCGGGATCCCAGGTCAGGATGTCTCCAGCAACCTTCACTGATACAGGTGGCTAAATAGATTGTTATCAGGCTTGATGACTTGGTTAAACATTGTACCCAATGCTTTTGATTTTTGTTCATAATATCAATCACTGGATTGTTTGACCCAGACTTGAATATTTACAGGCCATCGTCATATACTTTAACGTTGATGAGTGCAGGTCACTAAAAACAAAGCGCACTGATAGCTACACTGTAGCAGCGCTAATGATAGCTCCATTAGTGACACTGCTTCAAAAAGAACTTTCAGTCATTTTTTTTTTTCAATCTGCTCTCTTTAGTTCCACTGTTTCTGGTGCTAGCTTGAGTTAATGTCAATGTCGTGTGAATGTTAATGTCAATGTCAAGTGAGTGTCTGTTTGCTTGTTTGACATTTTAACACCAAAATGTAGGAAGTAAGTGTATTTGATTAAAGGTTTGCGAGTGCAGTGACACTTTATGTGGGTAAGCTATGACTCATGCCAGGGAGTATACCTGTACTACTGAAAACACCAACTCAGCATGGGAGTCTTGGGGCCAGTGGTCCTTAACCAGCATCATGGAAACATCTTCCTCTCTATATTTCCTCTAAAAGTGCTGAATCTGAAGCTACTGTGACTGACTGAGTATGGTTTTACGCCGCTTTTAGCAATATTCCAGCAACATCACGGCTGGGGACACCAGAAATGGGCTTCACACATTGTACCCATGTGGGGATTCGAACCCGGGTCTTCGGCGTGACGAGCCAACGCTCTAACCACTAGGCTACTT